CTCCGCTTGTCTTGGGGCCAAGATGTCGCTGTCAGCCTGCACGAAAGACCAAGCATGTAAGACAAGTTGAGGCGATGGGTGGCTGTTTGTGATCGCGCGCTCACAAGTAAGTAGACGATGAAGAGATCAAGGGGGATATGCCAAAGGACAATTGGCAATGATTCCCTTCCAAAATGCGGTATCCAACACACGGGGCAGAGCAAGAAGGGAATCAAGAAAAGCGAATGACAACTTCACCTGAAGAAGAGGTTGGGTGGTGACATGCATTCTGATGCTCCGATCCTGGAAACTTGCCGTGGGGAGGCCGAGGTGGAGACCTAGAAAAGTCCACTGTATGGTAAGCCACGCTTTCCCCTTCTAGGTTTGTTCTTGGCAAAGGAAGCGGGCCTCGACGTCGGCATCCCGCCCGTCCCCTCTGCTGTCCCGCCGAGCCCACCGCTGCAGCTCACCCATTAACCTTGGACTTCCGGGCCGCAACTGCAAGCCCTCAAGAGTCCAGCGCGGTCGGCATCCGGAACCCCGGCAGATGTTTTCTAGCCCCTATTCCTAATCTCAATCTTCTCCCAAAACCTCATCAATCACCTTCCCTTTTTTTCCTATGTACTGCAGAAAACAGTTGACGCGCGTTGGTGTCAGTGTGTGTACGTCACCGCCTAAAATTCAACTAACGCAAATGTGCTAGTGCATAGCCCCAATGCCAGGAACCTTGGCGGCCGGCCTTGGAAACTGTTTTGCCGCTTTCCATGCTTGGTCAGATAAACTTCCCGTGCCTCTCACGTTCCGCCGCCTATCCCGACGGTCGAAACGTTTGTCACGCGGCGGCTTGTCACCCAGGAACGCCGCACTTTCGCATTTTATATCTCAGGTCCGAAAGACACACAGCACAGGATTCAAGACAGAGTTTCCGACCGTTGCGTGGCATGGCTGCAGAGCCGCATGGCCTTGAATGTCGTGTATCGGAGAACAGGACGATAGTGTGGTGTTCATACGCTGTGGTAGGTATTCGATGTTGTGAGGGTGTTCAAGGTCTGTCATCCAGCTGGATAGTACTGCGGGCTTGGTACGACACAGATATCACGAGGAGGTCTCCCGTAAAATCGAGCCACGGCGGGCCGAAGCTGTGCAAAGTTCCATCTGACACTTCGCGTCCAATGGAGAACCGACATAGCAAAGGTGGGCAGTAGTGACTAACCCAACAAACCAGATTAAGTAGGTAATATGAAGGATTAGAGTAAAAACAACGGGCATGAGACACAAGCATCATGATGACAACGGCAAGATCTCGACATGAGATGAATCCAGGACCATCCCGCATCCCGCTCGCGGGGTCAGGAGATCAAGCTAAAACTTAAATTCCACGACATCTCCACTCCGGTTTCTGCAAATAACACTCCTCTTTTTATGAATTCAGAAATCTGCAAGAGGATATGGGTCATGGTACGTACCGACCCTCGGCACTAATTTGCAGTATACTTAGATAGGTATCACGCCGTTCCGTCCCGAGGGTTCCGGTGTTCCCGCTTCCCGCTCAGAGGGGTCCCAGACCCGACTGGCTTTTGACTATCGTCCAGAATGCCGGGCTGTCCCGTCTCCGTGCAGCAGAAGATGAAGGGCCATGTGAGATGTATCACCAAGAAAAGAGGAACCCCCAAGGAACTTATTGGTCGGACCTGAGAATCAAGTAATACTTCGTTATGTAACGTATTCACCGTACTGTATGTTCCGTTTCCAGTTACCTCTATTACCCCAGACTTTGGGAAATTTGAATCCGGGGCCCGGGATGCTACTCTGTGTTTTCTCTTTATCAGACAATCAACAGCGTGAGACTGCGGCAACTAAGAGGTTACCATTACGTATGCCCAGGCGTGGGCTTTTGCTCATAGGTTCATGGGTGTTTCTATCATCGTCCACGTTCATGTTTTCTATCTTTAAATCAAGAACAAATCGACAATTAATGCCCCGGTGTCGACACTTGGCATCCTGAACGTTGCCTCTACCCGCGGTACCCTCTTTTGCATTTTCTCACTGACACAAAGTCAATATTTAATGATTTTACTCGGCTTGATTATTTCTGTTGTGCTCTCCATGCTAACTACCTCCATCACCATACCGTAAACTAGATCTCTGCGCAATAGAGCAAAGACTGATCCAATACTTCACTGCCCCCTGATTAAAACCAGAGTATCTGAGAAATAGTAGCCGCCTGGGCTTCTCCAGATCATCGCCTTTTGAACCTCCCCGCAGCCAGAACTTCATGGAGACACCTGATGCTTTTTATGGTCAACTCTTTCCCCCGCCGTCCCATCAAGAGAGAGGGAGAAACGGGATACCATGATAAACCAGAGCTATTACAAAACCTGAGGCCCCGGGGGATTCGCCAACAAAAGAGGAATTATTACCCCGGGATATCGATAGACGAGAAACCGTCGAAAGGAGCAACGTAATCGAGAAAGGAGAAAACTTGTGCAATACTAAAAATGATCAAAGTAGGGATGACGAGGATCAATGTGCCAGACACGCATGAAAAGACAAGGTATCGTCTTGTAGATTTCGTGGCTGATGGATGAAATGGGACAAGAACAGAACATTTGTAAGAGGGGTATTCTTGGCAGTTTTTAAATCGGGAAAATGTGATGATATGTCGTCAAGCTTTTTTCTTTTTGAAGCGACACATGGAGGCAACAGAGCGTCCTGGTAAATACAACGAGATCCTCTAAACGCCAAAAGGAGTCGAACCGGGAGTGTACTCTCCGGAGGGGTATTATAAGGAATAAGAGTCATGAACCATCGGTGGCTTATAACCTATCGCAACACACAGCCGTGTTGCGAGGCAGACAAGGAAAAAAAATAATTTTGATTTACCCGCTCACTGTGTATGGTGAATGCTTTCAGGAGACAGAGAAGCGGGATCAACATCAAAGTGTTTGAGATCCATGTACTGGTTCAGCTCCATTTCTGCTTGGTTCGGTTCAGCGAATGGCGAGTGAGGATGCATCGGAAGTGTGTAACTGTGCTTGCCCGGCTGGTACATGTCGTGGTTGGAGCCATCGTCCGAAATCGCGGAGCCCTCGCAGATGGGAGGCATAGACATCGGCGGAGATTCGCTCATGATAGCAGGGTGGTCGAACGATAGCGGGGAAATCGACGGAGGCGGGACACCGAGACTCGAGGGGTTGATCATGGGCGAGAAAGTAGCGCTATAGGGGGTGAAGCTACCTGCCATGTTGCCATTGTCAGGAGGGGCGAAGTAGTTGGGACTGTTAAAGCCAGCCGGTGAGTGCGGAGCAGTCGTCGCCGACATGGGATACTGTCGCATATCCACCGACCCGAAGCCAGCCTGGGTATCAATGCGCAAGTTGGGGTTGAGAGGACCCAGCATGTTGGGCTGCTGAGGGATAGGAGCGAAGATCTGGGGATTGTGAACGGGAGCCTGCTGATGCTCAGGTTGCGTGATGTGGAAGCTTGGGGGCTGCTGGAGCATTTGGAGTGTCTGGAAATCGATCGGTCCAGGGACACTGCGGCTACGCTGCCTCTTGTGGCCAGGTCCTCCCCGCATCATCATGTTGTTGTTCTGATGAACGTTGATCCCCCATTGGTTCTCCTGGAACATACCCACGTGCGGCTGCGCAAAGTTTGGCTGAGAAGAGGGACGAGCTGGGGAAACAGGCGCAGACAGAGCCATGGGGTGGTGCATCTCCTGGAACATGTGGTTCGGGCTGTGACGATGCATGAAAGCCTCCAGGCTGACAAGCTTGGCAAGCTGGCCGCTCAAAATCTTGGGGTTGCCACCAAGGTGATGGGTGAGCACGCTTGAAGCTTGCTGGTCCTCCGTGAAATCACCGACCTGGAAGAAACCGCTAGCCTGGCCAGCGGCGTCCATGAAGAAGAGGGGCGGGTGGAGGAGCTCAATCGTGATTCCGCCCATATGATCGCCATCGCCATTGTTGAGGTAAATATTCTTAATGTAAGAAAAGGGATACTCGATCTTGTATCCTTCCTGCTCGTTGTTGATGTAGTAGGTCATCGTGCACTTGTCGGGGGAGTAAAAGATGATGAGATCCATAGAGTTTTGGGACACGCGCATCCACTTGCCAATAGTGAGCGACTTGCAGGTGAGATGGTGAATCACTGTCGCGAGTCAGCAAGCCACTCCAACTCCAACCTCCATGGGGTATTCGAGCCGCGACTTACAAACTTTGCCCTGTCCGCCTTGCTCACCACCGAGCATGCCCTGGTGTCCATAAGGCAGCAAACCAGTGCGACCAAAGTAACCAAGACCCTTGCCCGACTCCATCGCCTGTATCGCAAGATACTGTCTCATGGACTCGGGGATGGAATCCATATCCTCGCCGCTTTCCAAGCTCTTCTTTGCCAGAAGCTTGATCTTGGCGCGACTGCTCATGAAGTTAGTCGATAGTCACAACTGTGATCGGGGAAGAAGCGCACAGTAACAAATACTTACCGATTCTGGAACCAAATCTGGACGGACCTTTCGGTCATGTTGATTTCCTCTGCTATCCTCTCGCGAACAGTGGCAGTCGGGGTAGGGTTCTTGTTGAACTCCATCTCGAGGGTTGTGAGCTGGTCCTGCGTCGCACGCTGCCTCTTCTGGTTCTTTTGCTGCTGAGTAAGGGTGCTCTTGCGGGGAGGACGCCTCGAGGCCGAAGACTGGTTGTGGTTCTTGTTGCCATTGGCGGGAGTAGAGGGAGAAGGCGAAACACTGTCCTTGGGGCAGCTGGTCGAGGTGGGAGTAGGAAGAGGAGTCATGCTGGAGGTTGGCGAAGGCGCTTCCTGCTTCATTGACGGCGGGGCCAAAGTCTCCTGGTTGATTATGTCGGTAGCCATTGCGAGCAGCGCTGGTGTCCTTTCCTTGTTTCCAAATGAAAGCCAAGAGCGCGTCGAACGATGTTTATCTCTCAATACACGGATCCAGATGTCCCTGGATTTGGCCTAGTGCTGGCCGACCCTGTTTGCCCGTTTCAGGTTGCGCGTCGAGCGGAAGGCTGAGGTGGTGGAGGTGTGATGTCGAAGGCGTATAGCAGTCGTGTGCGTGAGTATAAGCTATCGCGAGATTGCAAAATGGCAACAAATGGAGGAATGTCGCAAGACAATATGAAAGTCGTTTCTTTTCTGTGGTAATAATGAATGTGTCGTCCTAGGCCGCAGTAGGTGGGCACAGGAGGATTAGTAGTGATAGTAGTATAGTAGTAGTAAGTACTAAGTGTCTAGCAGTGTTTGGGTTGCCAGGGTGAGTGGCAGAGAGAGTGTGGTATGTGTGTGATGGCGGTGATGCTGATGATGGTGTTGTGGTGGTGGTGGTGGTGTTGATGATGATGCTGGATTCAGACCGTAAAGGAAGGTAAGTGACCCGGAAAGAGTGACGGGACCTAATGGAATGGACTGAATTGATTATTGATCCAAAGTGAACGACTGTGGTTAGGTAGGTAGAAAAGCAAAAGAATGAAGGCAGGGGGAGAGACAGGAAAGGAAGGGCTTGTCGGTGAGAGACGAGACTGACGATGGCGACCGAGGTGGGTTGAAAAAAGAGGGAGTGGGAAAAAAAGAGAGCGACGAGGGCCGGGGACGGGGTAGACATTCGAGGGAAAAAGCAGAAAGGGCAATGGTGGAACATGCGACCACCACCCGACTCCAGCGGGCTCCAGGGTTAGGTCCAGGACTCCAACAGGGCTCCAGCAGGAGCGAGCGAGCGATGGGGCGGCACCGAAAAAAGCGGGTTCAGACTCTGGGCAACCACTGCATGGACCTGGTGGCACTGCGAGCGAGACTGCGAATCACTGCGAATCACCGGTGCGAATGGCTGCTGCGAATGGCACCGTCCAGCCAGTGCCTCTGCTCGCTCTGTGGTGCCCACCACCGACACTAGTGTACTATGCTACTTGCGAAGGTGGGTCGCTCGATGCGGGTCGAGTGGCATGGCGTTCAGGCGGGGGTTGCGGTTGGCCCATATCATCTCATGGTTGCCGTGCCTGGTCGTGCCTGGCGCCTTCCATCTCGACATGTCGTCCTCTCCCGGCGCAGCTGTTCGTCTGGTTCCAGCTTGGTGCGGTTTGGGTGCAGTTCTGGTGCAGTCTGGCGCAGAGGCGCTGCAGCAGAGGTGTGAGGCAGACCGTTGGGATTGGACGCGGTCCATCGCTCGCAAGCACGGTGATGGCACAGCTCGACACAGCCAAGCAACAAGGAATGGAGGGCAGCAGACTTCACACTACAGTAGAGGTAGGGGCACACTCGCACATTGACCAACGCTTCCCTTCAGTGCGGGACACGGCATGATGGCGGCCCTCCTCCCAAGCCGTGAGCGACGACGGTACCTGCAGGAGGACTTGAACTCTCCCAGGGGCACTCACTGTCCCCATCCACAGTCCGTCAGACGCCATTTTATACCGTGGTCCCGTCCCGTCTCCATGGCACGCAGTTCAGTCTTGTCTCTTTACGAGAAAGGTTGTGTCTGTCGTCTGTCCTATTTGCAAACCAAGACAAAAAAGAAGAGAAAAAAGTCACAGCGAACAGCGATCATGATGGAGTGGATCTCACAAACCACGCACCTCTTCCTCGTGCTCCTATTCGGGCTTTCAACGGCCAAAGTTTTCCGGTCCACCCCGTCCTTTTTCCCGAGTTCCCTTCCATCGGCCCTCTCACAACTTCTCTCACACTGTCCAGCTCTCCTAGCCAGACACACTACCTACGATACAATAACCCCCCGTGACCCAGGGTTCGGTCGGATACCTGCCCGACTTGGCGACCCATCCAGGCCCCGTTTGCACCAGTTGACCCCTAATCCCAGGTCCCGGACGGACTCGACCATTCAGATCAGAGACACTGCTTTAGCTCCCCAGGGTTACCTTACCACTGGAAAGAACGGCACTGATCCGACTGCCGCCAGGCCTGTTGGTGAGCGAGATCCTCTCCTCTGTTCCTGAGCTAGACAGTACCGAAAGAAGGTCTAGAAGTTGAAGGGGTCTGAGGGGAAAGAAAGGGGAGGGGGTGCTGGAATCGGGAGGGCTCGGGCTTGGGCCCCGCGACCACTGGACTGTTCACAATGCCCATTTCGGTAATCAAGAGCTTGAGACAAACGACGGGGGAGGGTAACCAGGTGTTCAATACACAGGACACAGTACCCCGATGGAGATGGGGAGCCTGACCTGACCTGACCTAACCTGACCTGACTGATCACGACTTGGCCACTATGTAACACACTGGGACCGGTGCAACGCCGATGCTGCCAAAAGATTCAGCGGTCCCGGTCGGCATGGGCAGCCGAGCTCGTTGTTTTTCTACATATGGATCTCATTCCCGTCGACAGCAGGTGGTTGTCTTCCTACCTACCCGTTGGTAAACATGCCAAGTATTAGACGACGACGTTTTTATCTTATCGACGGAGGACTCGTCCGTTTGGTCATCAGCCGGGGAACAATCGACATCCACTCACGGTCGCCGAGGCCATGGTTCTGTTGTCCGTTGGGTCTTTGGGGGGATGCCACGGCCCATCATCCGTCAAGGTGAATTGGAATAAATGAACACAAGCGGACCTTGCAAAACATGATCGGATGAGCTTGCTGCTCCCGGAGATCTTCTCCAAACCTCCAGGTACGTATACAATCGGTCCAATTCTCGTCGTCTGTTATACCATCTGCTACTTTCTCTCCTGGCACCTGTCCACCTCATATAAAGAGGATGCGTAGCTACCCGGATAATCCTGCTGTGCAACGTGCGCTCGCGTTCATCATCGGGCCCATTCGGGGTACAGTCTGGAAAGCAGATCGCCATTCAGTGATGCTCACAGTGACAGCATACTCACGGAAACAGCACCCTGTGGCTTCTCAAGGCCTTCAATAAATTTGGACCCTTCTAAAGTCCCCTAGCTGATCGGCCCTGTTGTCGACGTCTGCCATTGCCATTGCCGCGGGTTGGCGGGTCAGGAGGGACTGGGAGCCCCAGCAGTCATATGGTATTCGAACAGCGCTACCAGCGAGACCAAGCAGCAGCCTGACTCTCGCACAAACCGGATGCCTCCACCAGGTGTTTGAACTGAAGGTTAGCGCAATGGATCGGCACGATATGGCGCGAATTCGGATTGCATCAAGCTGCACTAGTAATCATCCACTTGACACTGGAGAGAGAGAGGTGTGTGTGGCACGATGGTCTTTCCACCATCGGCCGTTATATAGCCATGTCCTTGTTTCTTTTTCTTTTTCTGTGTTTTCTGTTTTTTAAACCCTTTCCTTGTTGCTACCTAACGTTGCCGTTAAACACCAACATAGCCAGAGCTGGCTGTTTGGCCCGTCGCTTCCCTTGGCAATCCGCGCCGTTAGCCTCTCCGAGGCGTCTTCAGTTTGTACAGGGACAGCGAAGCAACGGGGCAGCGATCCAAAAAAGAAGTTCGTTCCCGGGGGTGCAGCGACGTGAGGGCTTTTAGTGTGCACACCAGAAAAGCCAAGAAGTGCCTGATGCCAAATTCAGGAACACCAATCGGCGTTCATTTAAGGACTTCGGCTCCATAGTTTGGGGGCAGTCTTGGCCGGCCCTCCTGGGACTGAAAAGGGGGTAAACAGCGAGACCTCAAGCGACCACACAGTGCGCTAAACTGTCTCAAGGGTTCATGTCCAACTAACGCCGTTACTAGTAGTACCTAGTAAGTAGGTGTTGTTCGCTTCGCCCTCGTCGCTGTTGTTATTCCATTTCTCTTCTTCCACCACCATGCCTAGCCTCCATCTATTTGAGTCGCGATCCTAGGATGGGCGATTACGTGCGTACTCCAGCTCCTTGGTGTCGCTAAAGCTCATCGATCTCATGCGAACACTCGAGTCTGTGTCTCCTCATCCTTGTCCTCAGACCGCTGTGTGTTCTGTGAGACAGTTTCACAAGTTTAGTCCCAATGGATACAAGCCTCAACCCCCTCGAGTCCCGTACTAGTCGAATTCGTCGTGCATTGGCGGATTGGTCAGTCATCAGTGGGGGTCTGTCGGGTCAGCTGGCGGACCTAGAAGCCCGAAGCACAGCCCACGTTCTCGGCTTTCCTGTCTCATCGGGATGATATGGGGAAAAGGCAAGGGGTTGTTGATGTTGGTGTTCTTGGCTGACAATCCTTCAGGACATCGCCACAACAAGATGGAAGTTTGTTCAAGTGCATCTGCTATCACCGTTCTTGCTGCCCGCAGACAGAACAGGGCGCGGAAAAAGAGACTTTAACCCGACATAGAAGGAAGGAGTCAATTCAAGTGCGGGGGCAGAGACGTCAGATGCACGTCTGTGCACAGTGCTGCGACCTTGCATTGCTGCAGTGTGTTCCTGCGTTAGCGCCTTTTTTTTTTTTTTTTTTTTTTTTTTTTTTTTACTCCGTGATGCTGATGCGGCGTCAATACACAACACGCCTCACTGCTCGTCTTGACGGTTGAGAATCTGAACCAGGCAGGTCAAGTTCCCTCCACGCGGCTCCCCACAAGCACTGCAACCAATATTGTGATGGGCTCTCTTCCGGTGTTTGGCATGACGCGGTCAGTTCGATAAGCTTGAGAAGAATGTTACACTAGAGGCAGAGAACTGGCGAGATGGGGGCGATAACACTGATCATCCATCGACAGCCTTCTTTGAGATACCCAGCACGAACACGATACAGCGCTGATAGAAAGGAACAAGTCGCTGATTGATCTTATCACATGACAACAGCTGTGTACCGGGACGGCTATATGATCTTCTTGCCAGCCCACATCGTCCATGTTTTCCCACGTTCCTTTCGATCTCGCACTGGTCTGAGCAGCCTCATGCTCGCAACGGGGAAGGTCCGGGACCTCGCCATTGGAATGAAGTCGGGCTTGGGCATGTGAACCACCAGGAGCGGGGCAATTTTTATATAACAGCCGCCAGGTCCGCAAGAATGCTTCCTAGCTCCTAAAAACTGATGGCAAACATGACTGAGGAAGCCGGACACACTGGTAAGATCGTGATCGAAGACGGCAAAGACCGCAAAACAACTACTATCATATAGTCCTGAAAACCGGCGTGGAGACTCGAATAGCATTAGCATCAGATGACAACGGACAACGTTCCGATAGCCCGGTGTTGCGAAACCGCGCCAAGCGGGCGTTTTTCCGTGTTAGGATTCCAGATCAAACCAGACCAGAGGTATGTATGTAATGCCTGCCTTTTCTTGGGCGTGGCTATCTCCGAAAGGATGTTTATTCCGGCACGGCAGATTCTCCATTTCAAAAATTGATTGAGGTCTGTTACCCTTGAGAAGACAGGCTCTCTAGATCTCAACACCTCAAAACACGGCATCTCCTCGTTATGGTCTGAGATTCAATGCGACTGCGATGCCATGACCGGTATCCCTGCGAGGGAGACATCCATCAAAACGAACTTGAAGGAGCTTGGACAGTGAGACAGCGACAGCAATAGCGACGGACAAGGACAGGGTCGAGAATCCACATTACCCCTGGATTTGTGGAGCAGACAAGGATCACTAGCGGGACACAAGTCAGTAAGCGGTGCGATTCCATTGGTTTTCAGATTTCGAGCTTCCAAGCAGTAGACTACAGGACCGTTGCCGTGGTCTGTGCCCTCTGTTTCCCTTTTCCTCTTCCTCTCAGACAGAGTCTCTGACCCCGAGTTGATCTCTCCTCCTGAGAAGCCCGACCATCCATCCAATCCCTCACCTCAAAACAACCCTCAATTCCGTCCATCCATCTCACCCCCAATGATGTGCGCCGTCTCAATGCACACATTCATCGACATGTCAAAAGAGGGGCATGCCAATGCAAATCCTACATTTCTGTTTTGTTTCTTTGGCGGGGGTTACAACGTCACACTCGTTGTCCTGAGTCGTGACATACCTACAGCACACACAACACGTCAAACAACTGCCCTGCCCGGATAGGAAACATGGGAAGAACGGCAGGAGACTTCGATCCCAAAAAAAAAAAAAAAAAAAAAAAAAAAAAAAAAAAAAAAAAAAAAAAAAAAAAAGGACATTGAAGAGCTCTCAACTCGCCCCGCACACCACTTGTCACCACAAGGTGCACTGTGCGGTTACATATTCTGATGACGACCTTCACTGCTAACAAGCGATATGATCTTTGGCGGAGCTTTCGTCCCCCTTTCCCCATCCGGCTGGAGGGGGCATTCGGACATCGTCCGTCTACTAGAGCTGTGAATGGGCCTTGCGAACGAACTTAGAATAGGACAAAACGCGCTCGCGGTCTGCTTTCTCTTGTTTTTTTCTCCCCGACGCGAAACGACGGCGGCGATCGTTCATGCGGCTACCCGCTCAGTTTGCTGATTGGTCTCTCGTCTGAATGTCTCTTTAAAAGTGTTCATAACATTATGCACGTCTGACTGGCCGTAAGCATTGTGCGCCGGCGAAACAAGGCAAAAGCACTGTGGATAGAAAGCTGACAGAGTACAATTATGCGAAACACGCGATGTCGTAAAGGCACCACTGACTCTTGGGAATAGGAAAGTCGGAAACATGTCCTACAGCAATCGGCGCGCGCGAGCTGGAGATGCAAACTGCCAAAATAGCCACAGAGCCATCCATCGTCAACACAGATTTGAAGATTCTCGAAACACACCTGGCCGCGGGAAGCCATGTGGTCATGACGATAAGCTCAAGGCCAATCCCTGGTAAGATATTGATGACGGCCATGGAAAGTCACTGGCCTGAACTGGGATTATACACTACAAGCACGCCGCAGTCATTCACCGTCTCCTGGTGTTTCCGCCCATCCATTGGTCACGGAGCTCTCGGCAGTCATTAGGCGACGGTGGTGCTCTCTTTCTCTCCTTTTCTTCAGCCCTGAAAGTGGACGCTCGTTCCTCATCATCATGGACCATATACATCAGCTCCCCTTGCCCGATAAAAGCCGTTGTGCTCGCTGTCAGCCTCGGATTTACCTAGTGTACCTGGCATGAGCCGCATGACGGACGAGCCCGGGCAGGGTTGCCAAAATGGGCATGTGCACATCGTGTTCGGGGCTTCCATCGATGTTGAAGCATGACGGTCCGGTCTCCTTACATGGTGTACTTGACTGGATTTAGGCACCTGCTCCGAACGCACGCCAGCGATGCGACCGAGGTCCACTCAGCATCGTCCAGCTAGTGCGACATGTGTTTAGAGGTAGAGGATATGAACCAAGCGGTTACTCATCAGTCCATCCTCTAAAGGCACACCGACTCGCTCTTTGTACAATGTTTCCTTTTCGATGAGTGTTGAGGGAAGAAAGACCCCACTCTCATTGGCTACGCTCCATTGAAAAGATGGATGATACCCAGAAGCAAAACGATGACCATCAGAATTCAATACGAAGGTCACACATACATAGTAAGTGATGTTGGGTGACAACTAAGCACATTTCCCGGCCTTATACCCGGCAGAGTCTGGTGCTGCGAACATTTGGTTCTATCAAGCCGGACTTTCGTGTTGCACGAGCGGTCCGCCCCCGGCTCCGAGGTAGTCACCGAGCGCCCCGGGGTACAGGCCCATCAGAGAACCTATCAACCTCGGATGATCGGCTCCTGTCCGAAGCTGCGGGCAGGAAGAAAAGAACGACGACTTCGCATGGTCGTCAAATCTACCCTACCCGCCTAAATTCGCCGGGGTGTCCTCTTCCGTCACAAGAGTGCCTTCTCCGTGCCGGGTTTTGACGCATGATCATGCACGGTCAATAAGGTTGCATCCCATTCCTCTTCAAAAAAACCACCAATCCCAAGACGGAGTCCGAAACTTCTGAAACTCGCGCTTTGTCAAGCGTCAGCCAAACATTGACGAAAAAAAAAAAAACTAAAAGACCGGGTTTACCCTGGTCATGCACTGTCAAAAAAAGGAAGACATCTTGCCCATTGAGGAAGTTAGGTTGTTGACGACAACCCGTTCTCGACTCGTTTGATAACCCCAGATTTGACGATACGATGACTCGCGTCACCGCCGTCGACATTTACACATCTCATAACGCTGGGCGATTCATCAATCTCAAAACCGACAAGATCAAACAAACACGCATGCATAAAATCTTGATCCTGCATAGCTCAGACAGCATGAACGACAAGACTGCATTCACCTTCACCACGATACTTCAACCAGGTGGTGGCGAACAATTACTGATTACATCGAACGTTTACCTTTATGCTTGCTATATCCTGATTATCTTCTATCACTGGTATTTCCGTTCTTCTCATTCGCTGCTCTTCTGTCTTTTTCCTTCTTGCCAACCTCAGACGTATATGATCAATCTGCAGGAACGCTTCGTCATCAGTGATTGTCCGCTAGGGACGGATGCCACGATGACACATGCTACCATTGCCGGGAGATCCTCTTCGCCTTGTTCATCCGTAGTGTATATTACTTGTCATTGTGTCCTGAGTCAGGATCTGGCTAACGGCAAGTTGAAGATCATTTTTAGGGTCATTGAGCGACAGGATCTCCAGGAATACCTAGTCTTCTCTTCTGTTCACATTTTGCCAGAAGATCTGTTCCATGGGAGAATCTACTGCACTAGGACAGAGTTCCATCTCGTGGGGATGTGATGCAGTCTGTGATGCAACAAAGCTATAACCGGATGCTTGTAACTTTGGCAATACCAAACGTTACCATGGAGATCATACAATATACAGCTATACTATACTATACTATACTATACTATACTATACCCCTCAACTCCTTACCCGTCGATACTTTGACACTTCCTGTTCTCTTCTGTTGCATTTTCTCGAAGCTGAAGCAGCACAATCCCAGTACTTATTGACCCAGAGCAGAGTCATGTTTACCCCCTTGTTCTGCTACGCTTCAGAACTGATTACATACACTCTCGATGGTCAGTTGACGCATATGCGACTTTGGAAGTATTGGACTCAGATAAACATTCAGCATGCCACGCCAAACAACGTCCTTTCAGCCTGCATCCAGCTGCATACCTATATAGTGTATATATATAGCACCCTCGCCACATCTGATGCTAACCAGGATCTCCCGTCCGGCCACATCCAAACTAAGCAATATTTTACCGGGAAACCCCCGGAATATCTCAACAACCGTCTTCCTTGCCCACCCGTTCCGTTCCGCTCCGTTCCGTCCCTCCCAGACCAAACGCACGCCCGAACGAGTGCTTGAGCAACCGGGCCGGTTTCTAGTATAGTTCAGCTGTGTAAGGTGTGGGAGTTTGGGGAACTTGGCTACCTAGTAGTTGGCGTGGTTCTTCTTACTCGCTGTTATTAGGTATCTTGCTTCGAATTAGGTATCCTATGCACTCACTCTCACTATCTGATGACATGCTTCCAAGAAGGGCTTCATCTCGTGTGCTTTGACTATACTCTATGAGTGAAATGACGAATAATGTTGTTTCGCTCCTGAGCAGAAGAAGACCAGTGTGAGCGATCAAAAAAAAAAAAAAAAAAAAAAAAAAAAAAAAAAAAAAAAAAAAAAAAAAAAAAAAAAAAAAGCAGTCTGGAAACTTACGGTATAAACTCGGAAGCGACAGGCAAGATATACGAGTCAAAAATTGTCCATAAGGTGAAAATGCATGAAAACTACCATGATCGATAAGATACAATAGCAATCGTGCCAAGAAGGAGGAGGAGGAGAAATGGAATGTGGGCGTGACGGTAGATGAGCTCGTGCTTTCAAAACTCGTCTTGATGACGAGAGCAGACAACCCAAGCCTTCATTCAACTGCGAGATTGAACTCGGTACTCTGGCATTACATGAAAAATGGTTCTGTCGTAGTGCCTGGGTCTTTTCCACTGGTGCGTGGCTAGTACTGGAATATAGTGTATAGATCAACCCCTAAAACTGTTTGTTAGCGCAAGAGGTCCCACTGGGTGTCTCACACATGTACCAAAACTTGACTCCATTCACAGCGGCCAAAACAAACCTGTGTTCAGACAATAGCCATACAGTCAAGAGATTGTAGAGCATCAGGTTATATGGCGAAGCAGCGACCCGTTTCATGTTCCACTGAGTTTTACTAGTGTTTGAAGAGTGTTAAACAAACTTTGGCGTGGTTGTCACTACGTTAGGTAACCCCTATTAAGTAGTGAGACCGAGTGTTGTTTTATGTAGGGTAGGGACCTCTTAAAACAGTGCCAACCCTTTGTCCAAACTGGACTGATATTATGCTTCGCCTTCTATGGTGTCCAACTGACCAGAAACACCCTAATGGCGCCTAGCTTTCTATAATTGGTATCAAATACGCGACAAAGGCTCCATTCTACTCTTTACCTAAACCCATTGCGACTAACCCCAACACCGTCTATTATACAGCTGAGCGCACCTTTTACGCAGTGGTCTCTCCGACCTCAGTTGCCGCGACAACCTTTGGCTTTTCCTCTTCCTTCTTCTCCTCCACTGGCGCCGCCGCCGGTGTGGGCTCTGGAATAGCAGCAGCATCGGGGGCCGGGGCTGGCGCCTCGTTGTGAGCCTCCGTTGCCACTGGTACGGAAGCAGCAACAGGGGGAGGAGCAAGAGCAGTCTCGGAAGCAAGAGCAGTCTCGGGAGCAAAAACAGTCTCGGGCTCAGCAGCCGGCGCAGGCGCAGACGCGGCAGGAGTGGGCTCAGGAGCAGAGGTGACAGCGGCAATAGGACCAGCAACGCCAACCTGAGCATGCCCAGTGATGAAATCCTCCAGCTCGCCAATCTGCTGGCCACCGGCAACCCAGCGCTGGTACTTGGCCTCCCGCTTCTCGGCGCACATCTTCTGCAGGGCGGGCCAGTAGGTGGCATGGTCGTAGTCGAACTCAAGAGAGCCGTTAAACTCGGTCCAGAGCTGCTCGGCGGGGACGTACTTCTTCATGTCCTCGTTGAACTTGAGCTTCTCGCGGGTGTTGGGGTCGATGAAGGGGGTGATGAGTTTGAAGAAGCCATTGACAATCCAGGGAACTGTGCTTGGTCAGTTTTTGGGTGTTCGTCAGACATTGGGCATTGCACATACCATTGATAATGAGAGCGCGCCCGAGTCTCTCGGGGTAGTGGTTCTGAAGGATGTTGAGAACTTCGCGAGCCTGACCGATGCCAGGAGCCGTGTTGGACCTGGACTTGCTCGACTTGAAGTTGATGAGCAGAGACAGGGTCTCAACCTGGGGCGGCATAAGGTCGATAACGCGCTCGAGCATGAAGACGAGGTGCTGGACTTGGCGAGGAGAGGCCTCGGTGTTCTGGCGGCCAGGGTTCAGGTAATGGCAGACGCGGCCCTCCTTGTCGTAGCCCAAGATGATCTGCTTGCCGGTCTCGTTCTCGGGTGAGATGTGATCCGCAGTCAACTCCTCGACGCCGTACTCTCTCCTCCACGTGAGCGTGCCCAGGATGCGTTTCTCAGCCTCCTTTTGATTCCATTTCGTTGCGCGCAGAAAGCGGAGGAGACATTCCCGAGTCAACCAGAACTTCTCTCTATCGGTGATGGGACCGGCCTTGCCCTCAGTCGCAGGGACTTCCTTCCAGTTTTTGACTTGCTCGAGCAACCAGTTGTACTTTTCCTGCTGGTCAGCCGTAAGCGCCGCTTGGGGCTTGGGCTGGCTGTCAGGGGTAGGGGAAGCCAGAGGGACCTTGAGGACAGTGGCCATTTTGAGCGAGCGACGTGGTAAAGAATTTGGGAATTAAAGAGAGTAGAGTGAGCAAGATCAGAAAATGCAGGAAAAAAGGGAACGAGACGTAGGAGGTTGGCCTAAAACAAAGAAAGTTGAGATACGTTGAAGTGGAAGTGTAGTAGAATTGGACGATGCCATCAGCCCAATCTCAAGCGACCGACGATGTGTCAGCCGCAACCAGATTAGGGGCTTTGATTGCTGGCCTCAGGGCAGATCGCTTCGATGATCACGGAAATTGGCGAATGTCTTTCCGTCTGGACCGAAGCAAAGCCAAGACTTGGAAGCAAGTGAGATGTAGAAGATTTGTATTTCACCATTAAAAATATGTGCTAGCTAGACGGAAGATGTGACAAACCCAACGTGCCAATATTCTCGAGTCTTCATGAAAACATTTTGCTGTCCCTGCGTTAACTTTGAAGAGTTCGGACGATCCGTCTGCAACTTGCAAGTACATCTCAACTAACTTGCAGCAAAGCGCTTTCCGGATTGTGGAGCTAGGTAGAGAAGCCGCCGCGCACCAGCCACAGATCCCCTGAGCTACAGCGTCGCTGCGTCACACCCTCGGGCCACAAGGACCACCCCTGCCAATTGGGTTAGCGTGTTTTCGCGTTAATTGATTTCTACGGCGCGGTTAGCAATGGCGCGTTCCGTAAATGTGTAGTTCCCCTCCATGATCATATTCGTGATACCCAATTATTTGTTTGTTGATTGTGCCACTCAAGCTGCGATTACACAACCCAAACCACTATTTGTTGGAACTTCAAGTAGGGACGGGACCGCATCGACTAAACCTGTCAAACACCACGAGCACCGAAGAGAAGAACGAGACGCAAACATCACCTGCCATTGCGATCATGGCCGATCCAGTCGTGGCCGAGCTCAACGAGCGCTTCGGCACTGCCAACACCGAGCTCTCTCCAGATGTCATATATGAGCTCCAATCGATTATGCGCCTGCACGAACTCGACGTCCAAGACATGTTCTTCAAGTGGGAATCGTACTGCATCAAGATGGACATGGACCAGCCCAAGATGTCCATGTCCACTGTTCGCAAGTTCAAGCAGGACCTACAAGACACACTAGAACGAGCAAACCGAGCTCAGGCGCTGGAGCAAGTCAAGACCGAAAAGCGACCGGGAGGAACACCAAGGCCAGGAGCGAGAAACAATAGCGATGTATTTGGTATGCTCGACGGACTCACAACACCGGCAGCACGACGGGCAGCAAAGCTTGGTTCGGCTAGGAAAACACCAATGGGGACTCCCATCGGCTCCCGCTTGAAGAATGAGCCCGTAAGCTCGCCGATGAAGCTGGAGGCACAACTAGATGCCATGGGCGTGATTCCGTATGTCCAGACCAGTTCCCTGCATACGGACTGTACCTTGCTAACCGTTCCAAGACCATCTTCTTTCAAAGACAGACAAAACGCCGGCGAAGTGATCGAAATCCTCAACGAAAATCTCCCTGCACCCGAACCACCCATCGCTCCCTTCGGCGAGTCCCGCATCAAACTTACTGCCGCCTCCGATCTGAAGAAACTGGGCTACAAGCCACTAGCAATGAAGCTTTCTGAAGCATCCGAGATCTTGGACGACAGGATAGACGACTTCACAAGTTTAATTCTGGAACATTACAAGTTGGACGAGTCGGTATTTGGCAGCGCGGCTATGCAGAGTACCACAGAGATCGTGGCAGTCGGGCGTGTCGCCTCTGATACGTCCGAGGGCAAGCTCAACGCCGCTTCCCTCGTGTTAGAAACCTCCAGAAAGTTGGGCGGCGGTTTCCGGGTACCCCTAAACGTCAGCAAGCTCAAGGGTTACCAGTTCTTCCCCGGACAGATCGTCGCACTACGCGGAACCAATACCACAGGGCGCGAGTTCACCGTCAACGAAGTCATACGCATGCCTCTCATGGGCAATGCTGCCTCCACACTAGAGACCATGACAGCACACCGTGAGAGGCTACGCGGCGGTCCGGACGCCATGGACACCGACGACGAAAACCCCATGCCTCTCAACGTCATTTTCGCCTCTGGTCCCTACACCGCCGACGACAACCTCGACTTCGAGCCTCTCCACACTCTCATCAACGAAGCAGCAGACACCTATGCCGACGCCGTCATCCTCACCGGCCCCTTCATCGACGCCGAGCACCCTCTCATTGCATCAGGCGACTTCGACCTCCCCGAGGAAGCCGTCTACGACCCGGACGCCGCCACTATGAGCACCGTCTTCAAGTACCTCATCTCGCCCGCGCTGAACCGACTCGTGTCCGCCAACCCGCACGTCACCATCCTGCTCGTTCCCTCGGTTCGCGACGTAATCGACCGCCACGTCTCCTGGCCGCAAGACGCCTTTCCCCCCAAGGAGCTCGGCCTGCACAAGAGCATCAAGATCCTTGGCAACCCAATGACGCTCAGCCTCAACGAGACGTTGGTGGGGATCAGCAGTCAGGATGCGCTGTGGGAGCTCAAGCATGAGGAGTTGATCGGCGGCACGGTGGAGGATACCAATGGCTTGTCAAGGGTGGCAAGGTATCTGATCGAGCAGAGGCATTACTTCCCACTGTTTCCGCCGACGGATCGGACGAAGCTGCCCAAGACGGGGAGACAGGTGATTGACGGGCAGGCTGCGCCGGGCGCCATGCTGGATATCAGTTATTTGAAGTTGGGCGAGATGGTTAATGTGCGTCCGGATGTCTTGATTGTGCCGAGCGCGTTGCCGCCTTTCGCCAAGGTATGTTTTTTCTGTGGTGCTGAATTTGCTTGTTATCCCGGGGATGCGTGCAGTTACTGACTTTGTTGTCTAGGTCATTGAAAGTGTGTTGGTCATCAACCCCGGGTATCTATCACAACGCAAGCGAGCTGGTACATATGCCAGGATGACACTGTATCCGCCAAAACTGTCGGAGGCGGATGCTGCGCCAGGTGGGATGCTTGCCCATAGGATCTTTGAGAGGGCAAGAGTCGAGGTCACCAGGATTTAGACTGGATCTCGAAGTTCTGGGGTTTGTAGACATGTCTTGATGATGTGAAAATTGGAGGTATAAATCTGGTTTCCATGTGTTTGTATTCGGCATTGGCATGAGGATAGGTATAACCAGGTGGTTTGGCGTCGGGATGAAAAAAAAGTATGCACATTCACCTTGACGATACAACAATATTAATGTAAGAAGTTCTTGCATGAGCCGACGAGGCCGCAGGTAGGCAAGACATGGACTACCTAGTATCCACCTTTCTTCGCTTGTCGCTCTCATACCAGTCCCGCTCTCTGGATGGTGACCGTTTCCTCCGCTCGCCATGGTCGCGATCACGATCACGTCTTGGAGACGGCGACCGGCGCCTCTCCCTGTAATCATCATCCCGACGTCTGTCACGGTCCCGATCCCGATCCCGGTGACGGTCCCTGTCTCCGTCCCTGTCACGGTAACGGTCCCGAGAACGGTCTCTATCACGGTTGCGATCTCTATCGCCTCCCCTATACCGATCCTCACCACGCGGCCTGTCATCACCCCTTGACCTCTCCGGGGCGCTCTTCCGATCACCCAGCGGAATGGCATTCGAGCCCTTCGGCCCATCACCACCCCTATCCCTGTACCGATCCCTATGAGAGTCATCAGGCTGGAACCTTTCATCTCCAAACCTGTCAAACTCCCTCCCTGGCCTATTGTCATGCAGGCGACCCCACTGTCCCGTATCTTCACTCTTGAGGTCTCTGTACTTGGTGGCGCCCTTTCTTCCCAGCTTGGTCATATCTCTCAGCTGCAACGCCTTGGGCAACAGCTCCCGGTTCTTAACATCGTCCGCAAACCTCGCGCCCATAATGTCGCGCTTGTCCAGTCCCATCTCCTTGCTCTCATCCTGGTAGAAAGCACCTTTGTGAAAGTACTTTTGCATGTATGCCATCTTGCCTTTGCCCTCTTTCTCTTCCTTCTGCTGCTGCAGGTGTTTCTCATCTTCGGCACGACGTTCTTCTTCCGTGAGGTTCCGTCGGCGCTCGATCTCTGCGAGTTCCTTCTCCTTGGCTTCGATGGCCTCGCGCTCGCGCCGCACGCGCTTCAGCTCGCGCAGCTTCCAGGCAGCGTATTCGGCTTCGGGGTCAATGTCATCCGTGTCGTCGATTTGATCGTCTTCTGGGTCGGTGTCGTCGTCCCAGTGCTTCTTGCCAGCGGCGCGGGCGGCAAGGTCTTTCTTGATTTGCTCTTCGACAAGCTCGTCGGCGGCGCGGCGGCGGGCTTCTTCGGCAGCTGCTTCGTCTTCTTCGGGTGTCGATTTCTTGTTTGTCGAGGCGGAGTTGGATGCAGTTACTCCAGCTTCGCGGTCGGCCTTTCGAATGAACTTTGGTCGCAGCATCAACCGCCTTGGTGCTTCCTCTTCTTCTGAGCTCTCTTCCTCTTCCGACTCTTCTTCCTCGCTGCCACTTTCCTCTTCCTCTTCGTCTTCCTCCTCTGTCACAAACCCTTCCTCTCTTGCTTTCTGTTCGGCCGCAATGCGCGCCTTCGCTGCTGCCTCCCGTCGCTTCTTCTCTTCTTCCCTGTTGTCTTGGGCGTTGCTGCCTATACCGGCGGCTTTCAAGTTGATCTTGCCATCGTTGCCACGGCTGATGATTCGGCCAGGACCTGCTGCATTGGCAAACTTGGGCGCTGGCGCTTTCCGCGTGGGAGGCTTCTTGGGGGCTTCCTCCTCGTCTTCGGGAACGTTGTCGGATTCGGATTCGGAGTCGACGCCGGTGGGCTTGCCGGCGCGGTAGCGCGGTGCCTTGACCGGGTTGGCCGTCATGCTCTTAGCTGGCGGCATGACGGGCGTGGCTGTGGGCGTGTAAAACTGATATCTGGTTGACAATGCAAGGCTGACAGATTAAGTACGGGTGGCGAACCTTAAGGACGGAATGGCGTTCAGAAGGAATGCAACTTTCATGTCCGAGTGTAATGATGAAATTACAGTGCAACGTCAAGTTGTACGATACGTGCAGTAAATTTCGTGACGCGGCAAGTGGACCTCGCAGCGGGTCTGTTTGGTTCCCGCTCCTGCCCGGCCACGACCTGGCGCAGCTATCGAATGCCCCGCATGACAGCCCTGTGTGCCTGTGTTCGGGTGTCTGTTGGTCTGTGCTTTCCGACTTGCAGCGACGCGACGAACAGAACAACTCTTAACCTAGGACAGGAAGGGGCTCTAAGACTTACAGAAAGCGCCTATCCAGGTAGACGGAAGTGAATAATGCCAATTGGAAAAGAAACAAGATACTGAGGAAGGTACATAGCTCAACCAAGACAGGAAGAAAGTCCTGGAAGCAGGGTTGGGGACGAAGCATTCGGCGTACTGTGTATAGTACCTATCTAGGGTGTATACCTATTGGCCTCCCCAGCTGTTGTTTGGCCCGTTTGTGTTCACCCAATCACTGCAGGCATCCCCGCCTTTGTACCTCTATAAGTTCCCTTCTTCTCCCCCCGACTTTTGTCCTTCTTCTCAAGCTTCACTTTTCCTCATTCGACACGCTCGCTCTCTTGCCAATCTCCGCATCCCACGGACTGCACAGCATCAGCGACATTTCAGCAACACAGTCTTCTTTCCTCCTCCGACCTCCGTTGTCTCATATGTCATCGTTCTGTAATTCATGAGGCCCAACCGTATGATCAAACCTCACTGTCCTACCAGCAGCATATTTTCCTCCTCTTCCTGCCCACAAGGTTTTCGCTCAGGCATTCTTCCTTGATGACATCGCCTTGAGGCTCGGCTCTCTTCCCAGTACGGCTTCGTTATCAGCACCGCAGCGCGTGTCATCGACTCTGGTCAGGTCCGAGGACAACTCCGTCATCAAAGCGATCCAGTCAAGGTCATCGCGGGCCCTTCCACTATCGTATGTCTGCTCTCACACCACACATCATCCGTTTGGGCTTGAAACTGACCTCGGTCTCACATTCAGACCAATGCTGTGAAAATCGAGTACCTGGTACCTGAGCACAGTAACGAATCGCTCGACAAGCTGGTTTACCTTCGTCGATGCCAGAGGATGGCGATCTTTCCGGCACTAGCAGAAACAAGAAGCGCCCCTGCCTTCGCATGGGCCTTGTCCATCCTTGCCCTTCCTCAACCAGAATTGGCGCGCAGTTCCTCATGTTGCGCACCCACGCTGGCCATCACAGAACCACCTTCCAGCACTGTCCTCACCTCGCATCATTGGTGAGGGCGGCGAAGTCGGCCTCTGCACCTCCACGCGGTGCCGCCCGGGAACCTGAATGCTGATTCCACCTTTTCGCGCCAACTTACTCAGTCTCATGTGCGAGAAAACAACTAGATACTTCTTCGGCAGCATTCAGAGCAAACGCAGAGACGCAATCTCAAGTCTTGTCACGGCCACAATGACGGACTGATCACCCGAATCACAGAGCCGGATGAATCCTCCGACAAGACTACGACGGGGAAGTTCTATGGAAGCAGAGACGATCGTACCCTCTTACCTCTCCTTTCACAGGCGACCCCACCCTCCCCTCCGGCTGTGTTGTCAATCACAGTTGGGCAGGAGTTTGGTCCGCCAAGTAGCTGATGTGCAAAGTGTCTTTCCGCAGCCATGATCATACTCCTATTATCGGCCGTCGCCGAGGGTGCTCACATGCAACACGCAGATTTCAAGCTGGAAACAGTTATTCTTGTATTCTGCGTTGATCATATGGATGAGACCAAAGACAACGTTACATATCGAATTGCGAACATAGTTATCAGGTCTACAGCATCGGCGGCTGGCTTACGAGCCAGACGCCGATGCTCGTAAGCCAGCCGCCGATGCTGTAGGCGTGACGACATCCGGTGTCCAAGTGTCTTGGCCCGGGGCCGGGGTGTCATTCTTTTTTGAAGTTTTTGCGGATGGCGCCTGGTTCTGATGACGACTGGAGGTTCCGTCGTCGACGTTTCTCTCGGAGCACGCCAGGCGTGTTTTGAGAATGAGGTGTGCCGCTGTGTATTGCTGGGCGGGTTCGATTCCTGTTTCTTTGGGCCCTAGTTTGGAGGGACGGCTAACACGGCGCCACTGCCTTGCGATCTTGATGGCTATCCTTTACTCGGTAAAGAATAGGGCCGATCATGATGCGCAGAAAAAAAATGGACTTGCAAAAATCACCCAAAGATGTCAGATGTCTTTCTGGAAGGTTGGACAGCTTGATGTGGACGGAACTATTGGATCTGTTGGGATTTTGGCGGACAGGTTGTAACGTCGATGGTGTATAATACTTGGTGTGTCTGTAGAGTAGCTCTGTTGGTCTACTGGCCGACAGAAGATATTCGAGGGCTCGTCGGGCTTAGTGTCAATGTCGATGTGACCAGCTGGGCCGTCTTGAAGCACAGTAATGTCGCCCGCATCATCAAGTATGTACGCTACACTTAGAATCCTAAGTTCATCACATTTGATGCTAGATAATCTTGCTGTGCCTTCTAATCTACCTCGAGATCTAGTTGACATTCCATTTCTTGCCTCGTGCGATCTTGTGTTTGCCCAGTCACCTAGGTATCGTACGTACTTGGCAGTCAAAAGCCAACTACCTACCTATATCATCTGAAATGCTTCAAGGTAAGCCCAATGGTACCTATCCAAACACCAAAACATGGCCAGCCAGAAAAGAGACAGTTAAAAGGGTTTGCTTCACCACCCGCTCACATCGGTCAATCCTTCGTTCGACATAAGGAAAGTACTTAGACACTTGCCTGGTGAGATAAAATCCAAAACCGCAACGTGCCAGCCGTTTCGTTCTAGAGTTAATCCAGCATGGAGGTGATGTAGCTCATTGAAACCGAGGCTGATGACTTCTATCGCAGTATCCCTTTCTTTATGGTGTTTGTTCATGTTTCGCACAAAGCCTTTTTCTTGTTGTTCCATCCAGCAGCAGTGTGGGTGAAACATAATTTCATGTGAACTTTACGATACATCAACTGAAAGGTAAATTGACTTATATATTCCTTTCTGCTAACATAAATCACTCAGAAAATACTTCATCATCTGCATGAAACAAAGGCTAGTTCATAGCATCATTTCCTGGATGATCCCGGAGATATGCAGGACAATGAACACAGTCCATATACGTGTTTCGCGGGCTTCTTTTGGGTTCTGGATGAAGTCAGTTCCGGCTCACATAGTCAGGAGCGCTAGATATAAGAATGGCCATACCTATATCTATCATCTCTTCCTCTCTCGTTACTCTACAGATTCCCATCATTCAAGGACAGAAACCACCAGTCAAAGTATTCAACTCACGCAACACAACTTACCAATCTCACCACCATGTACAAGACGAAGCAGACAGCGAAACGCACGTTCCCTCCCCTCAAGCCTTCGAACTTCAAAGCACCCGTCCCGCGCGAAAGCAGCTACAGCGACTCTTACTCCCATGAGTCCTGCCCCACAGCCTCTTGCGACTCTTGCTTTGGATACATTTACGACAATGGCTATGACTCCAACACTGAGGAGTGGGATGAGGAAGATGACGAGGACGACGATGATGACGAGACTCAGTCGTCCGCCTGTCAGTCCCAGGTGACTGACCCGTTCTCCATGTCTTCCATGTCTTCTCTCTTTGGCCCTCCTTCTTTTTCTTCTCAGCAACCTCATGGTTTTGCCCTCAGCGCTCCTCCTCCCCCCTTACCTTCAACCTCCAGGGGAAAGGAACGTGCTCAACAGCCACGGTGTTCCTGCCAGAAAGTTTCCAAGGGATATTGCAACGGCACCTCCGGTCCTCCCAGTGGTGTTAATAAACAGAACCAAAACCCAAACACCACTGAAACTCAACTCTCCATCTTCAGCAACAACGGACAGACCGGGATTGATGGCCAGACCCAAACTACCGAGAGTCAGGCTTTGGGACATTTGTTGGGCGATGGCCGTTGTGCTGCCGACGTAAAGGGCAAGAATGGCAACGGCAACGGCAACGGCATGATCAAGAACTTGAATGTGTATAATCCGAACATTACCATTCAAGTGACGCCGGAGAACTTTAATAGGTTCAGCAAGTTCTTTCCTCAAAAGTCAGGCAATACCAGCAATGGGAAATAAGGGAGCACACACGTAGTCGCGTGAAGACTAGGATATCAGCGTGCTTGATCTTTTGATCACAGATGAGGGTTTTCAGCGGGTATTTGGTGCAAGATGATGTGGTTTAAATTCGAAAGAGGGTTTGAATTAGTGATCATGGCTTTGAGGATTTGAGTTGCATGCGGGAGAGAGGAATTTCTTTGGATACATGGTAATAACTGCAATGAAATCTGGTGTTCAGTTCAAGATAACAGTCTGCCTTCTGTGATGTTTGTTAAAGGTTGGTGGTACATGATAATTTGCGTAAGGAAGATGATGAGAGAAGCGGAAGACATGTGATACAGTTGTCTTGAAAGACCGTCATCCTTCCCTCGTCAGGGAGACGGTGAGACCTGAACAAGATAAGGCAACCACGAGGTATCACAACAGGTCCTGAGAATAACCTTCCGGTCAACGTCATGAACAAAGACTTTTGAGAGTAGCCATGCCGGCTGTGAAGATGAGTAAGGTGTTACAAGATGCTTTGATGCATGAGGAGGCTGGGATCAGGAAAAGGTTAAGGAGATCGTGATAAGTGAAACCTATTAAATGCCCTCGGTCATCTTCTGCTGCCAGGACGTTGCAATGGCGCAAAAGCGTCGCTTGCACCGCACCTTTTCCTCGATCACGGTTGGTTGCGTCTTTTCCGGACATACTCGGTTGGCAGTAGAACATCAGTAGCCACCAAGGATCATGACAGGCCCGATTGTTCAACCTCGTCAATACACGTGATGGAGGCATCGTGTAGGCTGAAAACAACGGGACAGACAAGCTCCTTTCCTATCTCCCGAAGGCACACATGAGCACCCAAACGAGCTTGTCCTCCACTCGTGGTGCTGCGGAGTTGAAGGTTTTTCTCTCATCTCCCGGCTCCCCCCCTCTTCTCGGTCAAAAGTATAGGTCGGACAGACCATGGCGGACATGGATACTCTGGAGTAGCATGGCCCATTGACGCGGCCAGCCGGACCGAGCAAGGTGAGAAAACTGTCGTCCTATCGACAATGCTAGATGGCTTGGTGCAGCGTGCTGTGTGCTGCGAGCGTGCATGCATTGCATGAAAGACTGCAGGACGCAGTAAGGTACACAGAGAAAAACACATGGAGGGACCTACATTAGTGCGATGATGACCGCAAATGCGCGCTTCATTCGCCATAACAAGATCAGGTCATTCAAGTTCGAAAGGCTCGATGGTATATACCTGACCCCACCTCCCTCGTCTATCTCTACCTCTACAACTTGGGCGTTCCTTGTTCATTTTCTCTGTTTGTACGATGCCGATTTGTACCAGGTCGTTCCTATTCCTGACAGATTGCATTGGCGATATCGAGATGTGAGATTCAATGGGATAGCTGCTCCTGCCAATTAGTGTAAAGACTGAACGGATAAGCATCATCGAGCGAGGTGGTGATAGCGGCTGCCGTCCAAGTGTGATGGGAGCTGATGGGGATCGCGCGAAAACGACGCACGACAAGCGACCATTGGCCAGCTGTGGCAGGGATTTAGACGCCCATCTCATCCGCTAAACCCAGATTGGCCAAGTCCTCTAAGTGATCACTCGAGTCCCCACAGCGGACAGGAAGTGCCTGGTTGGCTGCATCGAGACATTGCATCTCCTTCCTTCTTTTTCAACTTCTTTTTTAGAAAGTGCAATCGTCAACACGCCTTGCAGGACCGTCAAGGACCGTCAACGCAGCAAATTCTCCGGTTCTGGCTTCCTGCCTGCCTGCCATGGATGAACACTCGCCTCGGGCTGCTTAACCGCCCATCATGCAGTTGCATTGGTCAGTATTATAGTAGCATTGGTGGACCCAGTTCAACGACAGACATTGAACGTGACAGGAACCATTCCCTTGCCATGGACGGGCACACCCTCGACACACTGGGTTCAGTTACCTCACAGCTTCGTGATATCGATTGATGCCCACATTGCCTGGAAGCATCTTCCTGGGCCCCGGTCTTGTTATTGGCCTCGCGTAGGAGGCGGCCAGATGCGTGGTACTTGCGCCATCACTTGTACCAGGGAACCGACAGAGCCGACTGGCTTAGGTTTGATCAGATAGGTAGCAACCCCTCTCTTGCCGTCACTCTACATTGGATATCACCGACCAGCCATGGTCACTAGCAGGCGGCCATAGTCTCTTGTTGATCGATGCATGCCGTTGTGGACCAGGACCTATTCTTAGGTGACTACCCGTTGTTACCCCTCTTGGTGATATGTTGATATAAGGCTCAGTTTCCTCCCTCTCTTTCCATTTCTCTTTCTTCTTTTTTTTTTTCTCTTCAGCAAGTTCTCAAACTTCCAAAAGCCAGTTGTGTTTTCCCCCCTCCCCCCCTTTCTTTCCCCTTTCCCATCGTAGAGCTGTGCTCTATCGATTAATTCACTTTCACTAATACACCAAAAAATCAAATCACGGTAGCTTGCTGGTCTCGCTATCCCCCCCAAATTCACACTCACATACCCCCCCAAAGCACTAACTGGTTTTTGCTTGCTCGACTCGCCGTCTTACGCGCCAATTTACATTCTTCTCAAGATCCGTTTTTAGTTTCGTTTTCAGCATTACCCCTTAATCAGTCAACATGTCCGCCATTCAGCTTTCGTTCTCTCTCCGTGTTTCTTCTGGCGTCAAGACCGTCCATCTTCTTGGTTCCTGGGACAACTACGCCGGCCAGCTTCCCCTTTCCAAGGACAAGACCTCCTCCAAGTCTGGCTCGTGGAAGGGCACCTTCCGCTTCCAGCCCGCTCTTGTCCAGCCCGGCCAGCGCTACTGGTACTACTACATCATCGATGGCTACCACGTTTCCCACAACCCTTCCGAGGAGTTCACCGTTGAGCCCACCACCGGCCGCTCTCTGAACATCCTCGACGTTCCCAAGTCTTCTTCCTCCTCCTCCAAGAGCTCTTCTCGCCACTCCCGCGACTCCGTCAAATCCTCCATGCGCGAGTCCCTCTCCGTCGACATCCCCAAGGGTCGCCCTCTCTCCATCTCCCAGATCAAGGCTCCCAAGCCCATGTCTCCCCACGCCACCCGTCACATCCTCGATGCCGACTACAACATCGACGAGCTCTCCACCCGCTTCGCCTCTGCCGGCATCTACGACGAGTACGATGAGGACGTCATCACCGACTTCGACATGCGCTCCTCCCCCGTCTCGTCCACCGGCTCTTCCGTCAGCTACCGCTCCGACAGCTCCAGCCCCAGCTCCTCCCTCTCCGGCTACTCCACTCCCGCTTCGGACTGCTCCAGCTGCATCTGCGAGCGCTACGGCATCACCCGCAAGGGCGAGCGTGTCCGTCTCGACTGCGGTGGCTCGCGCTGCGGCTATGAGGACTCCTGCTCCTCTGAGGATGAGGATAGCTACGTTGAGCGCAGCTCTCGCCGCAACGGCATCGTCGTCCGTGCTTAAGTGGCTTCGCCCCTGCCTCGGGTGAGGAATTCAAAGAAGACTCCATCCTCCACGACTTTTGGAAGGGAACTCAAGTAGGAACGTTTGTGTGTTGTGTGCAGCCCGGCCTTGATAGTGCCATTAATTTGCCACCCACCGTCCCATACTCCCAATCCGGTCAACCAAGAAGACATATCGACGTCCCAGTCTCGATTCCAGCACTCCGATGTTTGCGCCTAGTTCGCCATCCCGTCGCTCGGAATTCGATGAGAGATAAACACGGTCCGATCACGCTCACTCTCAGTTGTTGAATAGCGACTGCAGCGAGAAAAAGTGTCAGGCGACTCAGCTCTCCAAGTGACTGAAGTATGTTGAAGTCAAGGTTTCTGTCCCCTTGCGCGCAAGCCCAACCGGCTGGTCCCTCGGGTTCGCGTCGAGGCACAGACCTCATTCATCATTACATCTTGTCGCTTACTCGACACTTTTTCTTCTGCCCATCTGCTTTTCCACTATGGTGGTTAATGCTGCGGCCCCTCACTCCACGCATGCTTGCTTGCAAGTTTGTGTGTTTCTGTGAAGTCGATAAAGAAAACTTTTTCTTGAGATGTATTTTGCGTGTTTTACCAACACCAAACTTTATTCGTCAAGCCTCGGAGTACTTGGCCCCACTGGTTGGTGGTTCAAGTCCAGCTTCGGGATATAATATTTTTCACCTTTGTCAATGATGGCACTTCTCCTGGTTTCGTCGGAGGAGCAAAGCCTACTTATTTCTGTCAATCTTGTGGCACTTGAACTGGATGGTTCTTGGAAAGTTCAAAACTGGCTACTTAACTTTGTATGACTTATGAAGATCATGAAAACTCAACAAAAAAAAGGAGGAACTGGGATTGGAAATCGTGGAGGAAGAAAACTGGCAGATAAGCTGAATAGCAAGAATTGCTGCAGAGGCCAGAGTAGGATAGATACCGCTATGAAATCTATGCCTCGGGAATTGATGATTATGACTGCTCGCTGTCGTGTTGCTTAACCTGACTTTGTGACGCTTTCCTAAGGAATATCCCAGCTTCTCAATCACCTCCTCACCAATTCATAATCTCCAACCGTGGCCATAGATCACCAAGCCGAACCGGACAAGCCCTACATCCTACGTGGCAACACACAAAATGAATGCAGTCACGACGATGGCTGTCAAGCTAACTGCGTGTTCCGTCTTCCATCAGAAGGGTAATCATCGAGTGACCAAACATCTTCCTTCAGAAACGATGAAAGTATATTATATATACATTTACGACGATGCCATACTTTCCAGGTCCTCAAAACCGACCGCCTGCTAGCGGACGAGCCACTAAAAAGCAGGCCGTCCTGCATATCGTTAGAGCGATTGTTGAGTGTGTAGCGCGGAATTTAGTCAATACAAGACCGGTTAGCGTCCTCAAGTGGATACGTCATCCACGAAGTAAAATCATATAAAGAGAGAACGACATCAATCTGTCAAAAGAGTGTGAGGGTTGGTTATAAGGGAGAGGTGAAGGGAGAGGTGAAGGGAGAGGTGAAGGGAGAGGTGAAGGGAGAGGTGAAGGGAGAGGTGAAGAGATGATTAATGAAAGAAGAGGGAATCGCAAGGCTTTTTGAAGAAATCATCAAGAGACGCTGAAGAGAAGTTGAGGAGTTTTATAGAGATTGAAGGTCTAGTCTAGTATCGGATGAAAGTTTCGCGAATAAAACGAAGACATGTCCAAGATCAGGTTCAAATCCCCCAGTTGTTCACTATACTTAGTGCTTGTCGAGAATTGAAGAGTAAAGAATCGGAGATTAAACGCTTCTGACTTTGAACTCAATCAGGTATCTATTATTCAATGGCAGCTCCGGACATTGCTAATAAATTTGGAAAAAAAAAAAAAAAAAAAAAAAAGAATGTATTCCATTCTCGACTGTTCAAGTCATCCGTTCCGACCGTCACTCAATTGCCATCGTCTGTGGCGATGTTTGGAACCCCCAATGTCCGACGCCGGCAAAGTCGGACCATTCATTCATTCCGGGCCATCGTCATACCGAGGACGTGTATTTATTCCCGCTTGTCTTTCGGCAACAGGGCTTACCCGGTCACTTGTAATTTGGTGTTCATTTTAATTTTTTTGGCCGGTTCAGGCCTCCTCCATAAGGCGAGTCCTTGGCCCATACTACGCGAAGAAGCGAAATGGACAATTGATCAGCGAGTTGAGTTTTGCATTCGTGAAAGAGAAAGGTAGAAGTGTAGTGATGTGTGTAATACTCAATAAGTCTATTGACTAAAATACTTTCTTTGAGTGGTGTTTCACGCGGTGTCATACAGGTTCGTGTTGTATGTATTTTTGCGTAGGTACCATTCCCAGTCAGTCTATGTTGTATTTGTATGTCATGTCCCCCCTCTTCCCTGAAAGGGCGAGTTTATAGGGGATATCCAAGAACTCCTGTGCAAATGCCATCATGGTCGGCCAGCTAAAGAATCTGGACCTGACCTGTTGTATTTCAACCAATCGACGGAATCGGTGTTGAGAAACGATGCCGTCCGTGTGAAAAAAGCAGACCTTTCAAATTCTCCTCCAACGCCATGCAAGTAAAAAGTCAAGATCAAAAACCCAACCCATCCATTTCCTTCTCGTTCTCAACCGACCCTGCGGGGGAACTCAGCCACTCCGAGCTCTAACCGGCGTGGATGATCCTCCCATCAGGCTTGATCAGCCTCCTCCCGCTCTTCAGATCCCGCTTGCTCGCACAGCAGCATCCCATGCCGCTGTGCACCGCGAAGCTCCACATCGTGAAGCCCGTGGCGATCCACATAAAGACAAACATGTACGTGCCAACATCGGCGTGGATGTTGAGGTCCGACTGCGCTTCGGCCGCGTACTTGAAGGCGTAGCTGATGACAGTGCCGATGATCGAGGCGGCCAGGGTCAGGATCATGGAGGCGAACGAGAAAAGGGAGAGTGGGAGGGACCACCACCGCGACTTGACGGGCAGGATGGGCGAGACGAAGATGAGGACGAAGTTGAGCACGCAGGCGGTTAGGAAGAAGCCGAACATGATCTGCGAGGTGATGCGCAAGACCGAGAGGATGGTGATGATGGCGGTGGGGATTGCGACGGTGGCGCCGGAGAGAAGCTCGCTCATGATGACCTTGACCGGGTTAAACCAGTAGAGCGTTTCGGGCTCGGAGCAGTACGTGATTCCTCTGTGATGTGTTAGCATGACAAGTCTGTGGATAGGAAGGGGGAAAAGGTTGACTAACTCAGATTGATATCCCTCGCAAAAGTTCCACAGACCAACTTGGTAAAAGTCATGCAGACCTATACTTTGAGCGATACTGTTGATCAACTGCGCATTTGGTACCGATTCCGGGATGATGTCGGCCAGGTTGAGCTTGTAGAAGTAAACATTGCGAAGCACGGGCTTGTCGGATGTGTTGCCAATGAGAATCTGTATTACAGGTCAGCTACATGTAACACGAGTGGCTAGCGATATCGAGTTAACATACCAGTATCAGGAACACCCAAGACACCAGATACCCAAAGGAAGCGCTCCAGGCGAAGTATCGCCGTAGCCTCGTTGCTCGCTTGATCTGTCCATCACTGGGTACCCCTTCCTCTCCTTGAAGTGTCCTTTCGTAGCTTGCGTCTCGTGTTTGTGGCTGGGGTGAGTATCGTTCTTTGGGTTGGTCATCCAAGCTGTTCCTCTTTCGGAGGTTCAGTAGTGATTTTAGACCCATTGTCCTGTTTCTTGTGCTGTTTCCGGATCCCAAGGATCTGGAGGGTAATGATGTTGACTTTGGGTGCGCAGTCACACCTTCTTCCTCGTCAAACTTCGGTTAAGGAGAAGAGGCCGGCTCTTTCAGAGAGTTTTGTCCCAAGCTTATCTAGAGTGGTGTTTGTTGCTGGTGGTGGAGGGTTGTGGTTTGGGGGACTTTTGAGGTCTAGGGGTCCCGGAGTTGGCGAGAGTGATGACGACGGGGCTTGGCTCCGGTCACCGGCGGGAATTGCAAATCCAGGTCGAAAAGTCTGAAGGTCGGTCTTCGCAGGGGAAAGAAAAAGACGATAGTCGCGGCAGAAGATGGGGGATCGACTGGTTAGTAGATTGATGAGGTGATGTCGTTATCAAAAAGCAGGCTTGTTCAGGTTACGATCGCTACAGCCACCGACCTGCTTGGCAGATTGGTTTATTGGGACCTCGTCTGATGGAGACAAGCCTTGGGCAGGGAATTATTGTTGGGTGGTTGGGGGTCTGTGCTGATGATCAATCGACAAACGTGGACGACAATCAGGATTCGGGATGTCGTTGTCTTGATATCAGAAGAAATAGACGAAGATTATCAGCATCCAGAAAAGGGAGTGTGTTTGGAATCTTGGCCAGTTTCTGCGCACCCAGCGTTGCAATTGGCTCGCGTGCCTCTCTCTCACGGTCGGCGGTCAGCAAGAGTGGAAGGGCTCAGCGGGCGAACGGGCGTCTTTGAGCGGCGATTCACAGTCCATTGCCCAAAAGCGGACAGAGAATCCACCATAGCACTCCTGATGGTCGAGGAATTTGGGTCGTGTAAAACCCCGGGCGTTGGAGAGTCTCATTCGGCTGTGGTTAAGGCTTGCCAATTTTATCCAACTTGTCCATTTGCAGTGCTTGTCTGTATTCGCGGCTAATAGGCGCCTTCATCTTGGCAAGACCTAGACACACGATAGGAACTGTCTCATTCAACCAAGTCAACAGTTGTACTTCTAGCAGAGTCTCACGGCATCAGATCCGTCGTATCGTCACCTCTATTGATGTTTCAAACCAGGTCAGTTCTGGAGCAAGGCCCATGTGGAGATGATACCCTTGATTCAAGACTCAGGTCCGAGGGGCACACCACCCACCCCAAAAACAAACCCCTGAGGGGTTGAGAGACGCTCGTGGTTGGTGCCCAAAGATGGGAAAGCGGCGATCGTATTTTGTCTTGGCAGCGATGTCGTTATCACCACGAGTTGAATTGAAGGAGGCTTGTGCAACTGCAACGTCATACCAAAAAAAGAAAAAAAGGGGAAGAAAGATGCAAGCTGCACCACCAAGGCATCTTGCGTGCTGTCAAGACTGCATTGTGCTGGGACGGCATCTCTCAAAACACCATTATCAGCATCGTGAGATTCCAATTGCCGATTACCTCAACCAAGCTCGATCCAAGCTCGAGCCAAGGTCTTTGATTTCGACTCTGACGATGACCAAGCCTCTGATGCCAGGGTCGTAGCTGCTGAGAACATGGAAGCCCCGGAGCGATGCGGCAGTGCTTCTTGGCTCAGTCGGCACCCAGCTAGAGGCTCCACGTGTGGACCGTGCCAAGCTTGCCTTTTTCCCTCCAGACGGGGGTCGTAGGGGGTCGGAACATGAAGCGCCCTTCACTACTTACCTTACCGTGACAGCATGATCCAGACGCGCCGCCCGTTCTAGCACTTTCACTTGGCTCCCTGTTCACATTCAGCTGGCAGAAGTTGGGCCAATGATCCATCGATTCAACTTGGAAGCTTCAAGGCTGGGAGGTTGATGAACTTGTTGGTTGATTCTACCTCGTCGTCATCTGTTCTTATCCTTTCGTTAACCCCAACCAAACCGTTAACCCATCCCTCCGTCTCCCTGTCCGGCATTTGCTTTCTGGTTCCCTTTCCCCCTCCCCTCCTACAGCTCGTGTTGTTTGGATATTTACCTAGAGCTCTTCAGGCCAGCTTGCTTGGGTGGACACACAGTTTACCATGACTTCCCTTACACGGCGTCTGGGCTGCCTGCTCGGCGTGCTTTCCGTGGGCACTAGCCTAGTCCATGGCCAGGCCATAACCACAGTCAACGGCGAAGAGGTGACCATGTTGACGGGCACAAAGGCTGAACACACGACCTCATCGATACCAACCAATCTATATCAGACATACACCACACGCATCACGCTTGGGACGACTACAGACACAGCATCATCCATCCTCGCTTCGGTTTCGGGAAACGCCACCGATACCGCGCTCTCTTCAGAATCGGCTTCCGAGACTTCCAGCGCAACGCTGAGCTACCTGACGGGCACCAACTCGCACTCGACGTCGACCTCCAACGCCACTGCGTCGAGCACAGAATCTGCGCAGCCCGTGCCTACGAACACACGGCCGTGCAATAACTATCCCGAATTTTGCGACCGCAAGTACAGCAACATCACCGAGGTCGGTTGCCACAACAGTCCCTTTGTCAGGGCGAATTCCGCTGCCGCGAACCAACAGCTCGGCGTCGTCGATCAGCTCAATGATGGCGTCCGTTTCCTTCAAGCCCAGATTCAGTGGGCTAAAAACGATACAGTACCGCACTTCTGTCACACCACGTGCGATCTTTTTGATGCCGGTCCCATCACCGAATGGCTCACCACCGTGAAGGACTGGGTCGTGGCCCACCCCTATGACGTCGTCACCATTTTGCTTGGCAACGGCAACTACTCAACGCCCGACTTCTACGTTCCCCATATCGAGAAGACGGGCATCCTCCGCTACATCTACACCCCGCCTGTTATTCCCATGACACTCAACGACTGGCCGACCCTGTCACACATGATCCTGACTGGTCAGCGCGTGGTCATGTTTATGGACTACATGGCCAACCAGACAGCCTATCCGTGGCTTCTGGACGAGTTCACCCAGATGTGGGAGACCCCGTTCGATCCGGTCGACCGAAACTTCCCATGTGTCGTCCAGCGACCGCCCGACCTGCCGGCCGACCAGGCCAAGAATAGGCTGTATCTGATGAACCACAATCTGAACGGGGAGGCTAACCTGCTTGGAAACGTCCTCAGTGTGCCGGACCTGAGTCGGATCAACGAGACGAACAGCGCGGAGGGCTTTGGAAGTTTGGGATTGGCGGCAAACAACTGTCGGTCGGATTGGGGCCGCCCGCCCAACGTGCTCAACGTGGATTACTACAACATGGGAGACCCTCCCGGAAGCGTGTTTGAGGCGGCGGCGAGAGTCAACAATGTGACGTACAACAGGAAGTGCTGTGGTGTGGCGGCCAGCTCGGCTCAGAGAATCGAGGCCATGTTGAAGGTGCCTCTGACTCTGGGTTTGATATGGGCTGCTTTCTGGACACTGGTTTAAGAATCACGTTGTAACCGTATATGTCGGTGGCTGGTTGCCTTTCTGTTTTCGATTCACATCTGGCTCACACCGGATGTGTTTAGCATTCGCATGGCGTTTCGGTTCTGGTTAGGGGAAGACGGACAGAAATCTGGAAATAGAATTAGTTGTTATGAAGACACTGTTGATCAGACTGTTCCCTCCCAAACTCCTCGTCCCGATATCTCGGTCTCTTTCTGCCGATGCCGGTCGACGGTCGACGATTCTAGACCTTCAATCGATACATATAATCGGAGTCGGAATGACGTTTGCGGGGAAACCAACATCACACAAAAAAAAAAAACAGTGCCAGCCAACCCCTACCGCGTGCATCCCGTTTCAGTTTAGCGGCGCATCGGGCGACGTGAGCCGAACCGAGGTACAATGCTTTCTCCACGTCCACGCGACACTTGTGCTTGCACCACTCGGCGTCTGTCAATTGACAATCATCAACTTCCCCCGCAACTTGTTCTCTCCACAACTTCTTCCTTGACACTTCTACCCGTCCGTCGTCTACCGCGCTTGCATATACGCGACTTGCCTACTCCTCATCCCATCTTCATCACTTTGTTGTCGCAAATCCCCAATCTATTCCCAAGTTCCTACCCTTACACAACCACGCCAGACCATCAAGATGTCTCAGACCTTCACAAAGAGCCAGGTGGCCGAGCACAAGGACGATAAGTCCATGTACATCATCATTGACGACGGTGTTTATGATATCACCAGTATGTTTTTCTCTTTTTTTTCTTTCCTTTCGTCCTCTTACCTTTCTCATATCTCCTCCCTCTACACCTCCCTTAACCCCTCCCTTGCTTCCTATTCCACCTCCTCGGCGCAATCATCTATTCCAACAAAACCAACACGCAAACCAAACAAAGAAGCCAAGCAATATGACAAGGAAACGATGATGACTAACCTTGATATGAAATATAGACTTCCTCGACGACCACCCCGGCGGCGCCAAGATCCTCAAGCGCATGGCCGGCAAGGACGCTACCAAGTCCTTCTGGAAGTACCACGGCAAGAGCGTTCTGGAGAAGTACGGCACCAAGCTCAAGGTCGGCACTCTTGCTGAGGCCGCCAAGCTATAAGCATGCCCTCAAAGGTTATTTGTTGTATGACGGTAGGTTGTCAAATAGGAAGGGTGTATGAAGTGGCGATCCCGTGGTGGTAAACGAAGCATGGCTCAGATGGGGGGCTAAGTGGAAGGGGACGGGGCCGAGGACGGGGCCCTAGGACGGAATGTCATGGACGAACCGAACCGACCATGATGGGGACACAGGAAAGAACAAGAAAGTAGCGCGCGACGACACCTGGGATCGACAGTACCGATGAGGGCGAAGTGTGCGGACTGCGGACAATCGAAGAAACGACCATCACTTGCCCCCAACTCAAACCCCCATCCTAACCTCGCCTTTACCCTGCTGAGTAGACTCGATCAGTCTGCCTTGGTTGTGGGCTTGTGGCATCTGGCCGGTCTAGGCGAAAAGGGTTGTGCTAAGACGATAGATGTTGCTTCGGGCGCGCAACTTTTTTCTTCTCATGCCAAAACGGGACAACTATGTTGGATATAAGGAATGACGAGCGCGGTCTTGCGGTGGTGTGACGAACATCAACTAGCAATCTGACGACGAGTGGCTTGGGCGCTGCGCAATCGCATTTATATATACCCCAGATCTATATAGCGAATGGTGATTTTTTTGTCTTTTTTCTTTTGAACACACCTGAACATGATCCTGAAAAGGATGGGATGTTGTCTGACGTGGGTAGTTTGTGTGGTGATCATAGCACCCAGCATGTGGCATTCGCATGTGATCAAGTTTTTTTTTTTTTTTTTTTTTTTTTTTTTTTTTTTTTTTTTTTTTTTTTCGGTATTTGGGTGAATGGAGCTGGCGGAGGCATTGCTGTTTCTGTTGCATATGCGGCAGATGCTCCATCTGCACCCGTTGTATATGCGAACATCCACATCTACATCTTTGTATCTCTAGATCTACATCACATTCGCATACAGTCCGTCTGTCAATCGTACATACGGGCGCACCGGCAAATCGGGTTTAAGCAATTCCGAATTACCTTCATACACAATTAAATTTGTAATTCTCACTCCCTTTGCCTTGTGTCATGGTATTTTCAGTCCTGGGTGGTGACTCCGTTCTTCTAGTCGTTTGATACTTTCTCAAGCGCCTAGGCAGGGGCGTCCTTCGACTGGCCATGGTCGGGGAAGGAACGATACAGCGGAGGGGAGTGTCGTATGTGATGCCTTGTTCATGTTAGTTAGAGGTATCTGGTAGCATTCCATGAGCTGTGGATACTTCCTTCACCCTCTCTCGTCTATCCCATTTCCGCTTATCTTTAGTCCGTGATGATGGTTCTCTATTGCCTTGAAGGTATACAGTCCGGCTTTAAAGAATGTATCCTTTCTACCGCCAGTGCACATCCGTTGGACGAGTTGTTTACAATCTGTCTTCTATAACGCAAGATTATGGGAGGTTGTGGGTGTCTGAATGAAGTCTTCATACGATAGAGTATCGCGCTGAGGCCCCGGTACCGTTACTTTTCCTACGCAAACTCCCTTTCCTCGCTCCATGTTTTGACCGTAAACATAGATACACAGTAGATAAGTCAAGGTGAAGCTCAAGCTCAAGCTCGAGTTTGCAATTCAGTCCCCCCCCCCCCTCTGATTCAACCCAGGGCATGCTTGCGCAGCTGTCTATTCTTGTCCTTCCCGACGTCTATTCTGAATCATGACTTGGGAATCCAACCCCGATAAGTGTTCCCCGGTAAGTGTTCCCCAGTAAGTGTTCCCCGATTAAGTGTTCTCCGATTAAGTGTTCCCCGATTAAGTGTCCCCCGATAGTGTCCCCCGGTAAGTGTCCCCCGATAAGTGTCCCCCGGTGATGTACCACGATGAGTGAGTGTTCCCCGGCGAATATTCCCAGCGCCGGTGAGTTTCACCTAATGGAACACTTTGCAAGTGAAACAACCGTTGGGACAACCGAACTTGGCTGGAGCTGGTCTGCCTGCCAGCCTGCCAGGTTCGGCTCAATGTTTTGGAATGCTGTTGATTAGAACCTTTGATCTGAGACTGCCTCCCTCCCTCCCCCTGCTAGGGAGCTATTCTTGCCTGGCACCAGCCGCACTGTACCGCGCCGCGCCGCGCCGAACTGTGAGGTCAAAGACACAAAGGTGCGGAGATGAGAAGATTAGCGGTTACGCGCGTTTGGAAGTTACTTGGTTGTACTTGTGGATAGCTTGGGAAATGCGAGAGACGGTTCTCGTGCAGCTGGACCGTGGTTTAGTAACCAACCGCACTGGTGGGCGGATGATAGCAAGCATGGCCCATGGCGTTACAGGCTCGGCGCACGCGGGGAAGATTTTGCGTGACGGTGAGATACGAGTGGAACGGATAACAAGAAAGGGCGTACGAGTATATGTAAAGTGTACTGTATTGGCCATTATTCTTTCTTGGAGGAGCTGTAGGTGAGTCATGATCGCTTGAGCTACGTTGACGCGATCAGCCGATTTGGAGATGTTGTATATTTAGTGTCCAAGAAAGGATACAATGAGACTATTTTGACAAAGGTGTGAATGCCGGGACTGCCTAAATGAGCTATGGCTGTCACCACACCCACAACTGTTTGCTGTCAAACTCCGTAAAATTCCTGCTTCCGTCAAACCTTCCGATGAAGTGAACCAGGAATAGCTGGAGATGACAATCAGCAAGGTCCGAGTAATTTTGGACGAAATGTTGATGTACACAGAGCCTGAGAAGCTTGCAATGGATAGCCATACCACTTGGCACAACAGTCTAAGAGGCAGCCGGTAGTTCGACGCTTAGCAGACGCCTGGCCGGCAAAGATCGATATCTCGTTTTCTGTCGAATACCTGATCATTTCCAGATCTTTGTTGCTTACGTAGAGCCTCAGCACACCGCAAGTTGAGACTGAGGTCGGATCTTGAGCGCAAACAGGCACGGCGGCAAGACCGGCTGCTCTGACAAGATGGATGATTGTCGGGGCATTATTTGCTTGCCCTGCCAACCTGACAAGGTGCTTGGCCGTCGGTCCCGTCAACACGTGTAGTCCAGGGTTTGATAGGAAGATCCGGGCACCTAGACTAGCATGGTGCAGAAATAGATTAACCTCGTTTCGACATCCTTCGAAAATCCTTGGCGTCCATCCCAAGTCGGCGGAAAATCCGGGGTAATATAAGGAAAAGGAGGAAAATGAACGGTAGGGTACCGGAAAGGAGTCCCGACAGCCGAACGAGTGTTAGTATGGGGCTTACAGTCGGTCGTTAGGCGTAACGGCTGCAGGAACCCTTCCATGGAGATATCGCATGGCTTCCAGGGGAAAAGGTACCTGAGCTGTGGTTTGATGGCACTGGTGAGGTTACCTTGACACCACTTTATGCGAAGATTCGATTTCCAGAAGGTTTCTTGAAACGAAATCAGCCACCGGTCAGAACCAAGATAGAGAGGGACATGGTCAAACACCGGTGACGTTAATGCTCCTGGTGGATAAAGGGAGGATGGTGGTCCTGAGGTTAAAGGGCATCCCGACTTTCGTTTCTCCATTAAGCACTCCAACAGCCACTTGGCTACACGGAAGTACCTGTCCTTCCCGTCCGTTGTCGCAAACACTTGGAGGGTCAAGCAGCGGAAGACAATCCTGAATTGTGGACGGCCACCTTGCCAGGAATAGTGCCTAATTAGACACTGCGGGACTGGTAGCAACAGCACACAGACATCAAAGCATCTAGTATTGCCCTAGCGGTGTGGGAAGGACTGTTCATAATGTGATCAAGGATGCTCATACAGCGCCGTCCGGGCCAGAAGGAGCGATAGGTGGACGGCGCCGCAACCCCAAATCTCTGATGGAAAACTGGGTTCCGAAGGCAGCCATCGTGACGTGAGACTGGTCTTTGAAGGACGGATCCAATGGCAGGATAGATGTCGCTTTTTTTCTGGTAACTGTGCGACCTTGGGTTCTGGGCGTGTTGAGCCGTGGGAGGGTACAAATGTTAGGTATCAAGGCGGGAGCTGATGGGAGAGTCTTGTGCGTCGTTGGGGTGTTGTTGTTCAGGTTAGAGTTGGCTGCACCTCGCAAAAGAGCTCAGGTAAGCCACGGGCTGTATGTACGTACCTGGCTAACAGCGGGTTAGGCTTCCCTAAAATGATGCACGAAAAGTGGAAACATGGGAGCCCCACGGGGGGCCCCCCAACTTGGTTCGACGGATAACAGTCTGGGCCCAACCCCAACCCCAACCCGCTGCTGCCATGGCCAACTTCTCTTTTCGCATCCAGTCGCCCGCCACTTCCCAGTCCACACTTCATCCTGTTTATCTTTCTGGTCATTCCTGAGCTGCAAATCCACGACTGATCAGATGCGTCGGTCTCGCGCGACTCCAGCGATCAACCAATGCCAGCCAGGTCCCGCCGTGCTCCCTCAGCTGTGGTGCCAACTGTCCTGTCCGTTTTTCAGATTGCTGTCTCGTCTTTTTTTTGCGCCTTTGATGGTCAGAGAGCAAATGTTTCTACCGAAGCTCTGGCGAGTCTGTGCTTGTCTGGGTCGTGCCCCGGGACCGTGCTGTCAGGATTCAAGATGAATTAGAACCATGATGAGCTCAACCAGGGACGGCCTTGTCGGTCGGTTAGCTGGATGTCGACATCCCTTACCCGATGCCGCGTAGTCGCTGCTATCATATATTATTGTACACTCATGTTACTGCGCCCCAGCACCAGCATTCCTGCCAGCCTGTCACTGCCAGGTGAACCCGCCATCGATCGCATCGCCCATCGGTCAAGCACCTGGTATTCACCTTGCGATGGATACATGTCGAAACTTTTCTTGTATACGCTGGTGCCATTCGTAGACATTGTTACGCAGGGAGGAGTGCTGAAAAGTGCCCGAAAAGGCCCCTATCAGTTTGCTTTTTCTCAATGTCTACTCCCGTGCATGTCTCTTGACCGGTTTGGTTCGTCCATTTTGCTGTTGAAGAACCTTTCTTATTGTGGCCATTCATGCCGCCCCAGCTAATAAGACACCTTTCAATGTGGTGACTTACACGTAAAGAGGTATGTACCTTGAACCTCCCGTCCTTCCCCAGATTTGCTCTCCCCCACACCCCCGGCCCAGTCCCCAGTCCAATCCTCACTGTCCTACCTGACCTGACCGTCCCCATCTCTCCTTCCCTCCATCAAACCTGCCATCTCTTTCTCCAACGGCAAGTTCCACACCTTCTCTGGCCCGGACCCAACTGGACCATAAAAGAATTTGTTGGTCTCAACTTTCTCCCTTCCAACTTCCCCTCTCTCCTCATTCACGGCACCGGCCACTTGAAAAGACCACATCGTTTGCTTATCGAACTCTCCGTACTACAATCATCATAAAACAAGCCACGAATTCCATCCGACTTGACAATCTCGAGCCAGGTTACCGCCATCAAACATAGGCATCACCAGACTCGCCTTGACTTTCCGTCTGTCCTCGACTTGTTCAGTTATTAAAACCCAGCTTGGGCTCCATCACCTCCCCCTTCTCGACACATATCTTCCCAGACACCGTCTACAACTTCAAAGACTTCTGCAAAACTTGAGCGTACCGTAAGCTTCACTCTGACTGCTTCCCTCACACAGATAACTTGGCTAACTCCGGTCAGATTTCCTTCACAATGACTTCCCAAATCGCTCAGCCTACTCCTATCTCGGCTCCTCGCCCGAATCTCGGCGTCATGACCTCGCAAGACCTCTTCGCCAGTGTCAACGCTTCCTTCAGCAAGAACAGCCAGCCGTCAACACCAAGTCACACCATCCAAGAGAATGACTACTCTGTGCCAGCTCCTCCTCCTCCAAGCCCGGTTAGCTTCCGGGAACACCATTGGCCATCGCCCGTTCGCCGTTAGGTCAGCTCCGACTGTGCTTTCCTTGGTTCGCAAGGTCGAGCTCCCGAGCTTATCTCATTTCAAAGGGGGGCCGCATAGGCCGTAATCGGGAGGCTTTTGTACACATACAACTGTAACACTTCATCGCCGTCTTCGTCGCACAGCAAGCAAGCATTCTTATTTCGTCGAGGTTGAAAGCTTTTCAGCGAGAGAACCTTGTTGTCCTTTTTATTTTTATTTTTTCCCTTTCTTTTTTCCTCGGTACATGGTCAACACAAAATCAATCGGAGTCACGGCGGGAATGTAATAGAGTGATGGGAATGGGCAGGCACAAAATGGTTGAGGAAAGGCCTTCGTCATCTTTGGTTCTTCGGTTACAAAACATCCTTATTACATCACACACAAAAACTCTCGCGAGGATAATGGTCCTTCATGGCGGACACATACAAGCTGTGCTTTAGTTTAATGCTACAAACATACCTCACTTCGACTTTTTCAGCCCCAGGCGATTTGATGAGATGACATGATGTTTTGGTTTCCCCGGCAACAAAGATTAACGCGTCACTCGGATATGACGCCAGAACCATAGGTGATCATCTTTTCCACACTCTGTCGTCTCCAATAAGAAGGCCTGCAATACTGCATCAGAATTGACTGATCGTTTCCACCAGTTGTCGTCACTGACAATTTCATTGGGCGACCAAGACCAACAACATCGGCAGCACTCCAATGACATGTCAAAGACCTCATGTATCGATTTTCAGCCGTCTAAACCAGAAGACTCTTTATCACAAAACCAATATCTCAGCCTTTGACGATTGGTGCTATGTTATCAGCACTAACAACGACTAACCATACGTCTTCTATCACTCCATCTCGCTTTGTTTTGGGTTGCCAAACAAGGGCCCACCACAGTCATGATCACAAACATCACCTTCAAAAACGATTGGTCTGTTGCCATAAACATCCAGAACACTACCACAACCCCACCGACCCAACCTTTTTCTTTTTTTCTTGTTTCCAACAGACACCGAACATCCACAAAGCCAAAACAGCGTCACTTCGGTTTCAGCAAGCAGATCGATTCGAGATTCGCGTAGTATACGCAATCTTGCTCGCTTGCTCGCAATACGAACTGCCCCTTCGTCGATCTAGTCCTTCGCTAGTGTACTGTGAACCTTGCTCTCGGAGAAATCAGGATGTCTCGAAACAAGCAGATACAGCAGATCAGTTTGAGACCTGTCGTCTAATCGTCCACTTATGTACCCGCTCGCTACATTTCCAAATATAGAAAGCCCGTGGACCCCGTACCGATGGCCCGGTGGCAAACACATCCGGGGGTGGTGGTCCGTCGTTGACCCCCACAAAGCGCCGAGGCGCCTTAAAAGGGGATCCGCTGGTCCCCTAGAAATCCACTTTCTGCACCTGCCCTGCACTCTGTCAATATCCACTCCACGTTCATGTCATGCACTGCAAACCCCGAACCCGGACCCTTGGGCCGGTAGGCGGTGCACTTATTCCACTATTTTCGCCGCCCTTCGAACTTCCTCGAGTCGACCAACAAGTTCGGATGACCCGACGGACGGGCGAGCGAACGTATCTCAAGCGGACGGACTGCAGTACTTGACAGTGATGGGAGATCGGGTGAACGGGGTGGGGCACCGAGACACGGATTGACAACATAGGATCAGAGGTGGTGACTTGTATCGAGGGAGGAAAGGATGAGGTAATGGTGAGCCTGTTTGGACACAATGTAACTATACCAATGAGAACTGCATCATAGAATAGGGTAGATTGTCGATGTTGACAGCAACGGCTTGGACCATACCTCCAAGCCGTAGGCAAGTAAGGAACCTTTGGTTTGGACCCAATTGGTGCTGATGTTTTTCTAGCATATTCTTTCGGCGGGTTGAGTTAATGGTAACACGATACCTGTGAACAAGTACCAAGTTCGACTTCATCTGAAATAACTCTGGATCATAGACATAGGAAACAAGACATCCAAACACGATACTCTCGAACCACCTACATCCCGTGCAACCCAAAGCAAAGACACATCAACATCCAGGAAATTTCCAGAAGCCTGCCACCTCACTTCTACGTACACCCACAAGAAGAGAGTTAGTCGTCATGCAACTCTATCTCAGTTGGTATCAATAACACCAAGCCATTCAGTCCTCCACGCCATTTAGTCTCCAAGCTACTACAATCTTATACCAACGATTACAAGAACGCAGATAGTATAAACTTGTGGATTTTTTCCAAACGGCATACATGACATGCCGTGTAACTCCCCCAACTCTACCTCTACCACCCCCAAGGTATCACAAACCCAGGCACCAGCCAGCGTGTGTCCCAGTGTGTCCCGACGGGTGTGTGTCCTTACCTCGAAACACACTTCATCATCGACGCCATACGGCCATCAGCTGGTTTTACACACGTTAACACGAGAAACAAAGTGATTCACTGATTCACTGGCTGTGACATGGCCGAAGCGTGTGTGCTCCGCGAGTGTACGACATCAGATTCAAGTTGAGTGTGTAAGGTACGGGAAGATCCAAGATATCATCTTCTCGCAGGAGAGCGGGAGGGAAAGATGTCCCAGGCCGGGATAAGACAGGAAGGATATGGGAAGGACCAAAACTCCATTCAGGTGAATTTCAAGACCCTGCCTGGACCGAACATACACTAGAAACAGGAGTGACCCCTGGCAATCAATGAATAAGAAGGTGAAGCCTGGTACCTCTAAATGAGTCCCTTGTTATCAAGTCTACTCGACCAGCGGAAGTGATTGTTTTGTACTTGAAGACTCGAAAAGCTGGTGTTACACGGCGACATTGGGAGGAGGATGGAAGCATTCAAGAATTTTTATGGAAGCATACCTAGAAAAAGGGTGAGTGAGAGCATGGAGTCTATTTTGGACACTCCTACTCCTTTTTGGGATCATTGGGTTATAGAAGGTATCTCTCCCGGTACCTCCGTTGGCAACTCGTGAGACACATGCAGAGTTAGAATGCCAAAATTATTCAACCTGTAGGATACAGCTATTCATCGTAAAGCAGAAAAAAAGACAAAAGAAACAAAAACGTGTAGGCTCGCGTCTGCGAGTCTAGCCTGTTGAACCCTTCATTGAACCATTTGACAACATGCCCCATTTGATGGTGTTGAGAGATGGGGTGAAAGAGGTAGATGATCAACCCATGCCTGGTGTTCGGAGGTAAGTAGTCTGCTTGGTTACCGAGCAACAGTCAAAAGTTGAAGGGAAGGAGACATGAAGGTTAGCAATTGGCTTGGAGTCTCACGTCTCTAGCTGTAAGACACTCGACTTTAATCGCCGTGAATCTGTCCACGTTGGGCAGATCATCTTTCTGCTATATCAATTCGGTTGCATGGAATCGGCTGTCGTGATTTGAAGACACGCTCAACTTTCCGAGTTTCCTGCTGTATAGGGGAGTTTGGCATCCCACATATGTATTTATGTAAAAAGGCTCCCAATTCTGGGTCGTCAGAAGCGCTAAATTATGTTTAAGTTCGTCGTGATGCCAAAAGGCTGATGAAGCGCAAGAAGATTTGCGTCCGAACATGAATATATGTAACACGTCCAAATCTCCAGAACACCCCTTTGTCCTGAGTTCTAAGCACCGCTTCTCTGAGAGGATAACGTTCCCCACATGTAAGTCATGAATTCGACATTGCCTTTCAAGCGTTGGGGTTTGAAAGGATGACATAATGTTGACCAAGGAAGAAGCCAGCCTTCCTGTTTGTGGTGGTACTAATCTTAATACTCAGTGGTCCGCCGCTATTCGTCGCTTCTCGTCAAGTCTACGACTTTGTAGACCGGACGACTATCAAGTTTGTACGCTTCCCTCGCTGTTTCCGCCCAGAGCCTTGTCTGAGCCTCGGGTCCCAAGCCAGCCATATGGCACGTCATCTCCACCACTCTGCGCCACTTCTTCCAGGCTTCATCACCAAGGCCTAGAGTGCACACCGGCCAGTCGCTGCCAAACATGATGCGTTCGGGCCCAAAGGCGGCAATCACCACGGCAAGCCAGGGTAGGATAGCAGAGAGAATTTCCTCGGCCGGGCGAGCCCTCAAAAACTCGGGCATCTCGCTGAAGCAGCCGCTCAGTTTCATGTAGGTACGGTCGCACTTGCTGAGCGTAAACATGGCGGTGCGCCAGGCGATGTATGAGGGATCCGTTTGTACGTTGACGATGGTTAGATCTGGCTTGCAAAGGTGGTCTGAGATGAGAACCATCAGTTAGCAAGCAATTCATGCAGAATGTGTCAAGGTGAAAACTTACTCAGGATAAATACCACTTTGTCCTCCTCGTCCACACCTTCGTGTGCACGGTCGATCATTTCTACCGCCTCCTCCAGTTGGATTCTCCCTCTTTTGTGCTGGTCAACACCCAGGTCAAAGACGAACTTCTTTCTGCCAAGCAGCTTCAGGCCCTCGATAAAATCGTCACTTAGGGCTGTTCCGTTGGGCTTATCTTGCAGTAAGTAGCGGAAACCCTTCACCTTGGCCCATGTTTCAGGCCCGGCTTCCTTTTCCGCAGCTGCAAGATACTTTTCCAACTCTGCAGAGCCCAACGCAACCGGCGCCCACGGCACAATTCCGAGACAATCACGGCCATCGTCAGCCGTGTGGCCCTCGCCAGGCTTCGGTTGGCCGGTTACGATGCGGCGAAGCCATGCAATCTCTTGTAGTGGGTGAGTCCAATCCTTAGCATTGTCGTTCTTGCGGTCGACCTCAATTGCGACGTAGCCCTGAAGATTGCCAGGCGCACCGGTGGCGGTCTGGTATTCCTGGATGGAGTGCTGCTTGGCGAGAGGATTGTCTTCAGCGTACCACTGGTGGGTTCCTACCTCGGACTGGGGATAGAGGTGCACATGGGTGTCGATGATGGGAACGGAAACGGCGGGAGATGATGCCATGCTGATCAGGTCTTTATCGAGCTCGAGTTTGGTAAAGCAACGGATATGTTTGGCAAGAAAGTAAGGTATCCAGTGATAGAGAAAGAGAAGGAGACAAGCGAACAAAGCAAAGTCAGAGATGACAGGAAGTAGGAAGGTCAGGACGTCGAAGCGGTGTACCGTCCTGCAGGCAAACCAACGCTGAACACAAGCCTGGAAAGTATGAATGGGATTTAACTGAGGCGACGGGGGGAGCTTCCAATCGAGCCTTCTCCTTCTTATATTTTCTATCCGTTTTAGCATAGGCAGGCACGCGCTACAGTACGAGGAGAGTACCTCGATGGTCAGGAGGGGGCGGGAGATGGGATCGACACAGACAGCCAGGAACCACAACGAGGTGGGGTACGTTCGGCATGCAAAGGGCAGGCCCAAGACGGGACAATTCACACCGAAAGATTCAAGATAGGGTTCCTGATCAAGAATGGTTACCCCCCGTCTTCGGTTTCCATTTCCTTGAGGGACCCAAGGTCCTTTTCCCTTTCGTCTTCCTACAGCACCGGAAGAAAAATACCCTTGTTATGTACAGTCATCACATGATTGTGTGAATACATTAGCAAAAAGGGTTCTATCTGCAAGACCCGACAGAGAAATCATGACATGTTCCAAAAGCTTAAGAAGTTAACGAGGCCAAGAGGGAAGTTGAGCCCCTGGAACTTGCTGAAGTTGAGCTCTCGGGTGGGGTTTGATGTGGAGATATGGGGTTGGCGGGCAACTGCCATGCTTGTCAGAACCGCTTGGCAGCAACACTCCACGGCAAACGCAAACTACACGCGCTATACATACTGGGGCCCTCCGCACGGACCGTGGATGCCTGGCAATTAAACTCTTGCCCCTCCTCGACGCGCTGCCAAACGCGTCGCTGCTGCAGTCCATTGTTTGTGTGAAATTTCCCCTCCAGACCACCATCATCATTAGTCCAACACACTCGACCCATCCGTATCTTGTCGGATCCTTCTTGACTTCTGCGCCTAATCCTTGCATCTTCGAACACGACTCACGCATTAATCAACCTCAAAATCAACATCGAGAACGTCTCCACGGGCTTGACGCCAACACTACCCAACATGGCGGGTCAAATCACACAGGGCGCTCTGGAGTAGGTTTCTTCACGTGTGCTTCCATCCAGTAGTATGACAGACTCTGACTTCTTGCTATAGCGCCATGTTCAATGATCCCGATCGCGCTCAACAACAGTTCCCCGTCCCCATCCTTCAATGTCTCCAGATCAAGACCCTCGACTCCAAGAATGGGGGCGCGGGCGCCACGGAGAGGTTCCGCATTGTGCTGAGCGACCTCAAGAACTATGTCCAATGTATGATGGCCACGCAAACAAACCATCTCGTCCACGATGGCCTCTTGCAACGCGGCTGCATCGTGCGCTTGAAGCAGTATCAAGCTCAATGTCTCAAGGGCAAAAAGTACGCCTATTTACCCCTCCGCCAATTCGGGAAATCCACAATACTGACTGTTGAAACCCAGCATCTTGATTGTCCTCGATCTCGAAGTCATCCAGTCCCTTGGCTGCCCCGAAAAGATGGGCGATCCGCAGCCTCTTGGCCCCCGCAGTGCAGAACCACAGCAGAACCCCAATCTCGGCAGCACCGGCTTCTATGGCGTCAAGAGCGAACCTACCCAAGACACGAAACCACAGTTTCCACGCCAGATGCCCTCGCGTAATGCCAGCGGGGGTCAAGGATCAAGCACGATATATCCTATTGAAGGTCTCTCGCCCTTTTCGCACAAATGGACTATCAAGGCCAGAGTCACCTCCAAGTCCGATATCAAGACCTGGCACAAGGCTAGCGGCGAGGGCAAACTCTTTAGCGTCAACTTTCTTGACGAGAGTGGCGAAATTAGAGCAACTGGATTCAACGACCAAGTCGACCAGTTCTATGATTTGCTGCAGGAGGGTCAGGTTTACTACATTTCTACACCTTGCAGGGTACAACTTGCCAAGAAGCAATGGTCGAATCTCCCCAATGACTACGAGCTCACCTTTGAGCGGGATACCGTGATCGAAAAGGCTGAAGACCAGACATCTGTACCACAGGTACGCTTCAACTTTGTCAACATCCAGGAGCTCCAGGATGTCGAGAGGGATGCGACTGTCGATATTATTGGTGTTCTCAAGGAGGTCCAAGAGGTGACCCAGATTGTATCCAAGACCACACAGAAGCCGTACGACAAGCGCGAGCTGACCCTTGTTGACAACACTGGGTACTCGGTACGTTGTACCATCTGGGGTAAGACGGCCACGAACTTTGATGCTCAGCCTGAATCCATTGTGGCCTTCAAGGGCACAAAGGTCAGCGATTTTGGTGGACGCAGCTTGTCCCTGCTTTCGTCTGGCACCATGGCCATCGATCCGGATATTCCAGAGGCCCATCATCTCAAGGGCTGGTATGATAGCAGCGGCAGGAACAACACCTTCGCCACACACAACAACATGCAGACCTTGGGTGGTGCGACCGGTCGCAAGGACGACGCCAAGACCATCTCACAAGTAAAGGAAGAGAACCTTGGCACAAACGAGGCGCCGGATTACTTCGCTCTCAAGGCAACGGTTGTATTCATTAAGCAGGATAACTTTGCCTACCCTGGGTGCCGGAGCGAAGGCTGTAACAGGAAGGTCACAGATATGGGTGATGGTACCTGGCGCTGCGAGAAGTGCCAGATCAACCACGACAGACCTCAGTACCGTTACATTATGAGCGTCAACGTCAACGACCACACAGGTCAACTTTGGCTTAGCTGCTTCGACGACACGGCGCGGATCATCATGGGCAAGTCGGCCGATGAACTTATGGAGATTCGAGAGACCGACGAGACGCGGTTGACCGCAGAGTTTGAGCAGGCCAACTGCCGCAAGCTGAACTTTAGGTGCAGGGCGAAGATGGACACATTTGGTGAACAGCAGAGGTACGTATCGGGGGTTATTCTCACGATTAGATGGACGTTGCTGATACATTGCTTGTTGCAGGATTCGATACCAGGTCATGAGCGTGGCGCCCCTTGACTACAAGATGGAAGGAAACAAGCTTAACGAGCTCATCAATTCTTACAACCAAATGAGCATGTAAAGGGGAGAGGGGGGTTTGTTCCCTTGTACGAGGAACTAGATGATGTATATGGTTAATGAACAAGTGTTTGTATTTTTGGGCATGTGGCCTTAAGGATCAATGATATGGGCGTCACTGGCCTATTGACTGAAAGATGATTTTCAATCTCATGATGGACTGGGATGGTTAAGAGCTGTGATGGGCCGAACCCTAACAGAACTTTGTTGGCGTGGCAGCAAATTTCGGCATGATTGCAGACTTGAATAGATCTCTCAAGCGTTATCTTGAAGTTGAGACACTGGGAGACCTTCCTCTTCGAGTCACCCTCAATAACATGCCGTGACGAGCAAGTAGGTACATAGTACACACGCTTGACTAAAAGAAAGCTCCAGAGCTGGTCAAGGTCGGATCAGGGCGGTCCCTGCAGTGTAATACGCACCTTTCGGGCTCAATATCCACATGGCAATCCTATCACCTCATCCGTTATCGGCCTTCTTCATCGTCTCGTATTCTCGAACTCTTCTATGCTTCAGCATTATCACACAAGGAACCCATGGCACAGCCTTTCCAGGTCATCTTTCTTCACTTTCCAACTTCCGTTATGTGAATAGGCACCCCGGCTCCGGTCTCGATGCGGACTGTTTAGCTGCTCGATACCGTATCGGCACTTATCGATTACACAGATGGATGACAGGAAACGCCGTATCTTCCCTTATCGGCCGTCGTCGGGATCCCCTGCCGTGACCCCACACATCCGCCGTCCAGACCCGCCCCCGCTCCGTTCCTTCGGGGGCCCCCACTTTTGATGGAGCGGGAAGCTGACATCGAGTTCTAGAACAAAAGACTATTGAAATCACGTTTGAACCGTAAGTGTTCGTGTCAGCACTAAGACTAAGTTGAACATTTATTTTTGCTCATCCCTCTCTATCCCATTCAGTGTCTTCTTGTTGTGTATTCACACACATCACCTTCCACCAACATCAACAAAAAAGTGACAAGCCCCAACCTCTCAAACCTCTAACAAAATGGCCGACCCCAGCACCACCCTTCCCCTTACCCGAGCCTCCGTCCTCGCCGCTCACTCCCTCATAAAGTCCTACATCCACGAGACACCCGTGCTCACGAATACCACTCTCGACCAACTCGCTTCCACCCCTCGTACTCCCGAAGAGCTGCGAGGGACGGAATGGGAGGCTACCGAAAGACCGGCGAACCCAAAGATTCGATTCTGGTTCAAGTGCGAGAATTTCCAGCGGATTGGCGCGTTCAAGGCTAGAGGAGCGTTTCATGCTGTGGAGAGGTTGAAGCAAACTGAGGGGTTAGAGGGGTTGAGGAAGGGCGGAGTAGTGACGCATAGTTCTGGTTTGTGAATTTCCGCTTTTTTTTCTTCATCTGGATATGATGAGGTGATATCAGTTGTTGAGACATGAAATTGTGAAGATGTGAGGTTTTTAAAGACTTGGCGTTAGGTTGAGTTGTCTGGATTGTCTGAGATGTGATGAGAGTTGTCGATGTGTTCAAGAAGTAGAGCTATGTGAAGACCCAAACTGACGTGACAACCAAAAGGTAACCATGCCCAAGCCCTTTCCCTCGCTGCCCGCGAGAACGGCATCCCGGCGCACATCGTTATGCCTACCATCTCGCCTCCGCCCAAGATCGCTGCCACCAAGGGTTATGGCGCCAACATAACCTTTAGCGGAAGCACGAGTACGGAGCGTGAAGCAGTTACAAGGGAGGTGATTGAGAAGACGGGTGCGAGGCTGGTGCCGCCTTATGATCGTATGTCCTTTCTCCTTTTTCTTCTCACGTGTCCTTTCTTTAGGAGTCTCTTCAGAGTCTCTTCAAACCCTCTCGAGGTCCTTTTCACCCTTCTTTACATCCTCCTCTTGCCCACTTTCATCCTCTCGTCTCTTCATCCCAACACTGAACCGACCAACTAACATCCCCACCCCAACCCAAACCAGACCCAGACATCATCCTCGGCCAAGGCACTGCTGCCCTAGAGCTCCAACGCCAAGTCGCCGCCTCTCTCTCCACCTCCGGCACCACCAACCGTCGTCTTAACGCGATAATAAGCCCTTGCGGCGGCGGTGGTCTCCTCTCCGGCACCGCTCTCGCCTGTTCCGACCTCTCCCCTTCCGATCCCTCTACACCCGGCCCAATCCTGGTCTTCGGCGCCGAACCCTCCTTCTCCGGCGCGGATGACGGTCGTCGGGGTTACTACTCGGGCACTCGCATCGAGAGCGTCAAATCCCTGACGATTGCCGATGGGCTGCGGACTCCTCTGGGGGCGTATCCGTGGAGTATCATCTATGAGCGGAAGCTGGTGGCGGGCATGTACAGTGTGGGCGAGGAGGAGATCAAGAAGGCGCTGAGGCTGGTTTATGAGAGGATGAAGGTTGTTGCTGAGCCGAGCGCGGTAGTGGGGTTGGCGGTAGCGTTATTTAATGAGGAGTTTAGGAGTATGGTGGAGAGGGAAGGGGGAGAGGAAGGGTGGGATTTGGGGGTGTTGTTTAGCGGGGGGAATGTTGAGTTGGCGGCGTTGGGGAGGTTGTTTGGTGAGGAATAGACCGGGAAAGGAGAGAGGCGTATGTAGAAAGGAACTAGGAGTTGAAGTCAATGTCAGCTTGTCCGCTATCTAAGAACCAGATCACTAATGCATAAACCAAGCCATTGAACAGAGAAAGAAAAAGAAAAGTTCATTGACCGACATGCCACCGGGCAGAGGCCCCCCATAAAGATAATTATATACAATCCGAACAAACCGAACCCAGAACAAACCAAATCGAAGAGACGTCGGAGAAAAGGCTTTTTAATATCCCCCATATTTCCCAGAGGTATCCCGTCCCGTTCCAGCGGCCGGCCAGTCATATGATGCGGCCTGTGCAGCGTGTTGTGTGCATCTGTTATTTTTCAAACCTGCCCAACTACCGGAGTATCATTTGTGTATCCCTCGTGCAAGCAGAAATCACGACCCAACCAAAAAGCATCAAAAGCCAATTGTTTACTTCTGGTTCTCGGGACGGAGGGAGCTAGAAGAGAAACAGATGTTAGTCAGGGGTCTTTGTGGCAAAAGGGCAGACGAGGTCACATACCGAACGGCCTTGCCGGCGCGCCAGATCTCGAGGTTGCGGATCTCGTCGAGCTCAGCCTCGTAACGCTCACGGTAATCGGGCTGAGAGTTGTACTCGAGAGAGCGCCTGGTCTCGTCACCGTTCTTGACGGAGTCGTAGAGGTTGTTGAAGACGGGCTTAAGGGCGTCCTTGAACTTGGGAGTCCAGTCGATAGCACCACGGCGGGCGGTGGTGGAGCAGGCGTCGAACATCCAGTCCATGCCGTGAGCACCAATGAGGGGGTAGAGGGACTGGGTAGCCTCCTCAACGGTCTCGTTGAAAGCCTCGCTGGGGGAGTGGCCGCGCTCGCGGAGGACCTCGTACTGGGCGAGGAACATGCCGTGGATACCACCCATCAGGCAGCCACGCTCACCGTAGAGGTCAGAGTAGACCTCCTTCTCGAAGGTGGTCTCGTAGAGGTAGCCGGAGCCGACGGCGACACCGAGAGCGACGGCCTTCTCCTTAGCCTTGCCGGTGACGTCCTGGTAGACAGCGAAAGAGGAGTTGATGCCACGGCCCTCACGGAAGAGGGAGCGGACGGTACGGCCGGAGCCCTTGGGGGCGACGAGGATGACGTCAACGTCGGTGGGGACCTCGACCTTGGTGAGATCCTTGAAGACGGGGGAGAAACCGTGGGAGAAGTAGAGGGTCTGTTGAAGATGTTTGTTAGCTCGCGCCACCACAAGACCCAATGGCATCTTCGCTATAAGCTTGGTTACTCACCTTGCCCTTGGTGATCTGGGGCTTGATGTGGGGCCAGGTCTCGGACTGAGCGGCATCGGAAAGGAGGTTCATGACAATGGTACCGCGGGAGATGGCCTCATCGACATCGAAGAGGTTCTTGCCGGGAACCCAGCCATCCTGGATGGCGTCCTCCCAGGACTTGCCGTTCTTGCGGACACCGACGATGACGTTGAGGCCGTTGTCACGGAGGTTAAGACCCTGGCCGTGACCCTGAGAGCCGTAGCCGATGAGAGCGAGGGTGTCGTTCTTGAAGTAGTCCTGAAAAAAGAGAAAGGGTCAGTATGGGAGTTCATGCGAGTTCAACGACTCAATTGAGCTTGTGAGTGAAGCTTGATCCGCTCACGCCCCGCCATGCCCCGCCCAGACCCTTGGGATGATCCATGGTCGGGGAAAGCTCATAGCTGGGCTTGGAGCTACGGGCACGTGTTTCTGCGGGCAGCTCGGTAAACTTGTGTAATTGAGATGGCATGACTCACAAGGAGCTTCTCAGCGGGCCAGTCAGCGCGCTCTGTATGTAGGGACAGCTCGTCAGTAAACAGTTCTGTTTGCTATTTCGGCCCAATGGCTGCCGACTGGGTGGATCTGGATCTGGACTCACCGTGAACCTCCTCCTTGTGGCCGGCGAAGTCCATGGTCTTGACACCGCGGACCTGCTGGCGGGCGGGAGCGGCAACGGCCTTGACGGCAACGGAGGCGCGGACAGCGCTGGCAGCAGCCACGAAGGTGCGGCGCTGGACGGCGGGAGTGGCCAATTGGCGGGCCAGGGGGCGGAGAGCCTTGGTGCAGTTGCGGGCGGCCATTGTGATGGAGTGCTTGGGGGTTATGGGATTTGATGGGGAGGGAAGGAAAGAAGGACGGGAGAGAAGAAGAAGAAGGGTCAGATGGGAAGAGAGAGGGATTGGCTTTTGAGGAGATCCGGAGCTCAGGAGCGGGCACCAGTGTACGGAGCAGCTACGGAAGACTACGACCTTTTGATCCCCAACCGTCTGACTGTCTGTGACTGTCTGACACTGCCGAGTAGTCACCGATATGCGGGTCCAAATTTTTAATTTTCCCTCCCGTTTGCCAGACTCGAGCAACGCGCACCGCAAACCAAACGCTCTGGTTGGTCCGCAACCCATTCGTAGTTGGAGCTGGCTGCCATGCTGTCACCGAAGTCGGTCGCTGGCGACACTTGTGGGTGGGGCCCCTTGTCCTCCAGCTTTTCCATGGATATCTTGGCGAGCTATGGCTGGGCCCTCGACGGTGCTCTAAGCAAACCAAAGTCCGCCTCCAAAAGCGTGAAACCCGCTTTCACGCCCCTCTGCTGCGGTTACGCCGTGAGCCTGTGACTGGCCGCAACCGTGCCAGCCAAGCCCGGGGCACGCCAAGAAATTGCCCATAGCGAGGCCATTCAGTTCCAGCTCGACACACTCAAGACTCTCGCGACACGGAGCATCCAGATGCTGCGGCAATGCTGGACCCTTTCCAAATTCAAAGATGTTGACGCCACTGGCGTCGTCGGCATGGTGTCTGGACTGAACTACCGGCCCTGTACCCTGGTACGGAGCTCTGACAACAGCTTCGAAGGACAGGGGGGACCCATTCTCAAGCCATTTCCTTTTTTGCCCATTCACCCAGTCCCCGTTTCTGCCATTCTCACCGGAGCCTAACTGCGGCATTGCCAGAGCTCCATGCCGCGCGGAAGTTCGCACGTGGTTTTTGTCAAAGGTTTGGTAACCACGCCTGTCATTGTCTGATTGTTGGCGTGTGTTTACTGGCCTCCGATGAATATAATCCCGCCATTCTTCAATATGAGGAGTCTGAGAACAAACCGTTTCCTAGTTGCCACGACGGGTCCCCTCCTGAATGTCACCCCAATTCGTCACAAGCAGGAACCATCCACAAGCAAGCTGTGGCTCTCCCAGCTCCAGAGGTTCTCAACAACTCCGACCAGCGCCCCGAAATGGAGACCAACTCACCTTGAAAACTGGGGTTGAGCGGGTCCCCTTTGGGTCAAATCGTGGCCCACGATCCACGAATCATCGAATATGGGTAGACCCCGGTCACCTCCAGTCCCCAGAATGTCACCTCACTGGTTGACAGAGCGCCGAACCGGGGCAACGTCAATGTAGGGCCGAGCGGCTTCGGTCCGCCTCTGCATGGGAATGCCTTCATGTCATCTCACAGTCTGGGACGAAGGGGCAATGATGTGCTTGCTACACTCCCACTTTCACTTTCACTTCCACTTCCGAATCCGCGTCCGATTTATAATTTAGTTTTTGTGACTTCTGTGCTCGGGATTGATGATTGCGGTCCTTGGTATATCATGGTGAGTCACGTAAAAGGGTGAGAGCACCCCAGGGTCTGGATCTCAGGGGTATTAGGTTGCCATGTGAATAGGACCGATATTCGGAGGGTTTTCGTGTCTTAGTTTGTGTGGAATGGTCTGGCTAGGCAAATTGTAAAGAGGAGAAGGCTTTATTTTTTCCCTGGCATCCTAACAACGACTTCGTTGCCCCTAGGTTCTGATCGGTACATCTTGGCAAAGCCTTATTCAAAATGTCAACCCTGTGCGTTAGTTTGTATGGGAACATACTACTTCCATCACATTGGAAGGTTCCATCGTTTGCAAAGAAATCATCCACGAGCAAAGTGACAACAGAAAGGACATGAGTCTATTATAAAGGTGGATATAGGTGGAAGGTAAGCCACTACATGAACCCTACTTGTATGGAACAAAGGAAATCAAACCTAAACAACATGAATGTACATATGGGACGTCAGAGCTGCATTATTAACACCACTCCCGTGGTCATTGAAAATCATTTCATGTCCATTCGCCCTATAAATTAACGCCGCTTAATGAATCCGCTCCTGGCATTCCCCAGTCTTCTTCCCCTCCCCCTCCCTTCGCTTCCACCAATGTAAGTCCCTCATCTTCCCGCCTACACTACATACCCGCCCGCAGAGTGCCTAGATCTTAGCTTAGGGAGCTTCCATGTTTGGGTAAGGTAGATCCGGGGAGTTTGGCGTGTCAGGAACATACGTAGTAGCTCCCGCCCCGTTCGTCGTCTGACCCCCTTCCCCCCTCCCCGCCCGCCCAACACTACCAGCCTTACGACAGATAAGGAACCTGCCGGTTACTGGTGACTGACAGCGAGCGAGCGCCCGCCCATCCATCCACTGACAGAGCAGCACAGCAGTTCCACTCCCACAAATCCATTCTGCATGCCAAGCATAGCGTGTCCTCATCCCGATTCCCGAGCCATCCCCTACCATCCCCATGGGACCTCGGGGTTGGGTATATTCCACAGTTCGCTAAAATCTAGATAAGGTAGGCGCTGAGGCTGAAACAAGCGAGCTGAAAACTTTTGAGGCTGAGAGGCTGAGAAAGAGGTGAACGCACAGACCTGGTTCTCCTGTTACGTGTGTTTCTTTTGATGGGTCTTTTGGCCTTGAGTTTGATGGGTTCCCGATACCTACTGGACAACCCGTTCATACGTCTGACCCTTGACCGTACCGCCCGACATAGCTGTCCTGACGTTGCGTTTGAAGCCTTCCCTGTTGGACCGCAGGTCTTCGGCAGCCTCCTTGTTCAGCGGGTCGCTCGCGTTGGGCTCGAGGAAGAGGAACTGTAGGCCAACGATGACGGCGTTCAGGTTGAGTACGGGCTTCCAGTCCTCGCGCAGAATGTTAAGGCACACCTTGCCTTCCAGGTCGATATTGGGGTGGTAGATCTTTTCGCGGCACTGCACCTTGGGCGGCTCGTGCGGGAAGTTGGGTGTGATGTTGAAGGTGAAGCTGAACTTGCCGCCTTTGTACATGCCCTCGTCCGGCTCGATGTAGAGGATGAAGTTGAGGATATCGTCTGGGTCCGGAAACTCGGTCTTCATTGTGCTGCCTAGTGAAAGCTCGCTGAGATCTGTTCATTAGCGTTACCGTCCCGTAAGGAGGGCAACATGCCGTTAGCTTGAGGGTCTTTTTCCTTATAGCTGTGGACCACACGGAGCCGAAGACAGCTCAGCTCGAGCGGGTAATGTTGAAGCAGGAACCGAGAATTGGCAGCCTCCGGCCAGGATTGCGATCGGATCGCCGTTACGTACCTTTCTGCACCCGCAACTGCGCCGCCGTGACCTTCTTTTTCTTCCCGCCACTTTCAGCCCCAGCCGCATTCTCGGCCTTCTGCTGCTCCTTTTTCTACATGATTGATCAAGATCGTGTCAGCACACAGTTTCGCGCCTCCCGTCTTAGGTCGTTTGGAGCATGATCGCATCAGATTATGCGCGCCCTACTTGATGGGACAAGGATCAAAGTATTGTGGTGTTCCGTACCATAGACCAAATCTTCAACATCTTGACGGCGGTGACCCTGCCGCGGATCCACGTATGTGTTTGCGTGCTGTTTGTGTATATGCGATGCGGGTGCCAACAGACGTCAAGTCTTCTAGGCGCCGAGAGACGGAGGGAACAAGGTCGTCGAGGGTTTCGGTTTGCGCTCGAGTGAAAAAGGTAAAATTGGTTGAAGAGAGGACGGAGATGGAGATAACTGTACGCGGTAGGTAGGTAGCTGTCAAACTACGGAGACGCGAAGGTTGCAGGAGGTAACGAAAGGGATAGAGGTATCGGATGATGCCGAGGCCTGCGAGCGTAGGCGGTGTATGTAAAGGTATTTCCGATCGATCAAGATGACGGATCGGTCATGCGTAAGGGTAAGTAAGGTATGTGTCAGGGGAAAGATCGGACAAGACAAGACAGGAAGTGTCAAACTAGACCAAAAGACTCAAAGAGGTGCAGCTCATCGATGCTACCAACGACACGAGAAAATATTGAGTGCAGCGAAGACGAAAACTTCAAGATGTGTCAGGCCGGAAGTTCTTGTTGGCGCTAGATTTGTCAGGACAATAGCAGGTGTCGATGCGAAATCCAGGTTCGCGATACGTGATATGGTAAACCCAACTGATGGCGTTTAGACACCTGGGTGGCACCGCACCTTGATGAGGGGCACGCGATAACAAAAAGGCAAAGCGCCGGCCGGCAGGGGCGCTTCCAGATTGGCCCGCCCAACCGCTATAATACCAAGCCGTCACGTCAGCAAACATGGAGGTCTCTATGTACAGGACTAATCGAAAAACCATGTGACCAGCTGTTGAGGAGCGCACTCTTAGGATAGGAAGTCAGTAATCAGATCAGAGTTGTAGAACATAAAAAAGAACAAAAAAAAAAAAAAAAAGTCCAATCCCCGAGTGCAAAATCGGTAGCATTCTGTGATCTCATCATTACAGTCGTTACCGTGGCCGCAACCCTCCGGTAACTTTAGGCGATAGGTAAGGCGTATCATACCGTATAAGATGTCCCGAAAATTACACGCTCTATCGCCGCTCCGGCCGCTCCGCCCAGGTTCCGTATCTTCCGTTGGGCTATCACTCCGGGACCCGCCTGATTGTCCGGGGCTTGTTGAATTGGGCTTCCAATTAGGAACTATGAACAACTACATAGTGCCAACAGCTCCTATGATGCTTACGATTCACAGTCTTACAGAGTTAATAAACATAAATAAGCAGAAAACGCCTTGACTTAAATGTCGTCTTGAACATCTCTCCACACCCATAGCTCTCTTTACTACATGTCTCTCGACCTAGCTGCTCGAAGACGTTGCAGGGTCAAAATCAATACATGCTGGCTCCCTCCTATCGACATCTCGGAAAAAGCATAACCCATGAGCAAGATAGCAACCTATGTATGTCAAAGAGAGAGTGTCCCATTCGTTCCATCTTAGTCACACCCGCCAACCAAAAAACAAGCAAGTAGTTCACCCCAACAATGCGAAACACCACACAGCCTTTCAGACCGTCAAAAAAAGAGAAGCCAACATTTGATACTACACACGCAATAGAAAGTAGGCTTTTTGTGACCGTTTCACGGTACTACCCTGCCATGACGCCGTGCCGCCGCCAAAAAGCAGTAACCCTTCTCCCTTCCTTCTTCCCTTTTGCGCTTTGTAAGCAATGTACAAGCCCCAACAACAACCACGTGTTTTGGGTTTGCCTAGCTTAGCGACGGGCAAAGCAGCACATAATACCGGTCCTGCCAAGGAACCAACAGAAGCCAATAAAGCGGATGACAGAGAGCGCACCAGTAGCGAACAGAAGGAACTTGAAGAACCACGCAGTTCTCGCGGATGCGGTTTGCTATCAATATATGTTAGTAAGTGGTTCAAAGTTACAATAAGGTGAAGAGCAATGCTTACCCCGATGCCAAATGTGTTAAAGTTGTCACTGGTGATAACAACCGCGAGGAGGCAGTTGGAAAACAGCCAAGACACGACAAGCATGGTTCTGAAAGACTTGTACGAGTCTTCGAGATCCTTAGGCTCCGGCGTCTCGTCTTCCTTGTACGGAGCAAGAGCGCGCCTGACAGTAGCCTCGAACTGCTGGTCGATATCCTCCTGCGGCTTCTCAATCTCTTCCACCACGGCCTCATCCTTCTCGCCCTTGCTGACGTTGGCGGACGGCAGTGCCTCGGCCTTATCCGAACCCTTGGTACCCCACGAGACGTCGTGCCAGTTGTTGAAGGCGTAAATCATGAGGATGTTGATGTAGGTCGACATGAGGAGCATGTAGTAAGGGAACGAGTGGAACATGTGCCAGGGGTCGAGGTACATAAAGGAGGCCAAGAAGTAAAGACCGTAGATGGTAACCAAGGCCACCAAAATGACACCTGCTGACCCTGAGCCGCCGAATAACGAAGCCATTGCGTCCTTGGCGTTGTCCAGCTGTAATTGTTGGTCGAGCGGTACGGAGAACGCGCGGGCAACAAGATAACCGGACAAAACCAAGATATAGGACTGAATGAGCGAGAAGACGAAGAACGAGGTAATGTATGTCCACTTGGAACCCTTCGGCCGATTACCCAATGCAAGGATAAACTGCAAGATAACGAATGCCAGGTAGATATACTTGAGAACCGCGTTGAAGAAGGGCGTTACCGTGTCGCCGAAGGGCCAACCGTGATGTTCTGCCGAAGAGCTAGAAGCCGTAACCGGGGTACCGACAAGATCCATGATGACAGTGGTGGTGAGCCAGTAGGAAGCGAGAGAGAACCATGTGAAGATGACGTTTGCGATATTGTAGATGAGCTGGACGTGGAAGAAGAACATGCGGACGATGTTGTGGCCGCTCTTGTACATTCTTCCGAAATGCATGAGCGAGTACAAACTGGCGGCGAACGAACCGTTGAGCCAGCGACGACGCTGAGAGATGAACTCGGGCGCACCTTCGGGCACATCGGTCTCGCCCTTGGCAGCCTTGATGTAGCTCAGATGCCATTTCTGGCCAGCCTTGGCGACCAGTTCGAAGCAGAGAATACGATCTTCGGCCAAGAACATGTTCTTCTTGAAAATGTTCATACCCTCAATGCCCTTCTTGCCCAAAATCTTGGACAGGGTGTGATCACCGTGGAAGTACTGCTCCAGCGGCCGACCCATGATGGCTCTGAAACGGTAGGCCGAGAAGGCACCAGGCAGCACAGAAACGTAACCAAAAGCACTTTCCAGCGGCTTGTCGAGAATGTTGGAAATCTTGTACTCGAAGTTCTGGACGGCGACCAGGGGGTTGAGCAGCTTCTTGCCGCCCTTGCCCAACATGGCGTGAATTTCACCGCAAGCACCGCCAAGATCCTTATCGTTGTAGAAACCCTCCCAAAGAGCCAACAGCGACCTGGGGCTGGGCTTGGTACCAGCATCCAACAGAATGCATACTTCGGGGTTGAGGATACGGCCAAAGGCATTGAACAGCCAACGGTGCGAGTTGATCTTCTTGGTGTTCTTCTGCTTCAAGCAGAAAATGAACTGCACAGGGGGCAGTGTCTGCGGGCCGTCATCCACGGGCCGGATGAGCGCCTGATTTGGTGTGACGGAAAGCTGACTTGTGTACTCGAAAATGTGTGCAACAGTCTCCTTGCCGTCAACGTCCTTCTTGATGACACCATCCTGATAAACACCGATGGTGGCCAGAACGTCGAGAACATTCTTGTCTGTCTTATCAAGACCGTCGAAAACCAAGCAAACAACAATCTTCTGCCACGCCGGTCCTCCGCGGTTCCAGAACGAGGACTTCTTCAGGTTTACGATATCGCGGATGTTGGTCATGACCGAGTGCAGCGTTCTGGAGAGCAGGACCTTGTCTTCGTTGTAGTACGTAATGGCGATGAGAAGCTCGGTATGTCTGTTGTACATGCGAGGGCGCAAATCGTAACCGTTCTTGAGCGTAAAGTCGTTGGGATCGCAAGTGGCGGCAGTGTAACGCATCTTGAAGAACTCCTCGTTGTTGCCCTCCTCATCGCGGTACTTGGGCTGAACAGCGTTCCTAATAGCACTAGGAACGGGATAGTCAAGACTCAAAACGGAACCCTGGACAAGCTTGACCTTTCTGGTGGCATAACGCTTCAGACCGCCGGTGGGAGCAGCGTTGGGCTGCTGACGACGGAGCCAGCTATCGTCCTCATCGATGGCGGACATCCTGTAGGCCGGATCCGTCGCATAGTCACCACCGTAGTTGTAGCCTTGATCGACACCACTGCTGACGCCGCCGCCGCCATAACCCCCGTGAGGTGGCGGGGTAGGGTTGACAGCGACGCCAGCTCGCGTCGTGCCAGCACCAGGAGCATAGGATTCGGTCAAGCTATACGCCGAGACAGGGCGGACTGGAGGCGTATCGGTGCCCAAGCGGTCATTGTCGTAAGGCATAGGGTTTTCGGAGAGGAAGGGAGCTTGCGCATCGTCGTGCTGGTCGCCCTGGATCACGACGTTCGTGTTAAAATGGCTGTTTTGAGTTTTCGCTGCCTGACAAGGAACTAGGATAACTTACCTGGTTGTGCCCACCGGGCAGATCTTGTAACTGATGGCCATCATAGCCATCGCCCCGACCGTGGTACGCCATGGTTGCGGACCGTGGAATAGAAGCTGGGAAGAGCGGATGTAGAGAAAGCTCGAATAGTGGTGAAGCCTAGATGATGCTAGAGCAGAAGTCGGATTACAACTAAGGTATTCACTGTCGGATAATTATGGAGAGTTGGATTGGCGGTCGAAGCGCCCTTCGCCGGCCAAGAGGTCAAGCAAATGGTCGCGGTGTGCTGATGCAGAGAGGAACAGCGGGGCTGGCCTTCTCTCTCCGGATAGGTGGGCGTGGAGAGAGAGTAGCAGCAAACAATGGCGAGGCGGGAATGGATGTCAGCTGGAGGGGATCCAAGACCAAAAGTGGCTGGCAAAGACTCTCCAGGTCAAACACAAAGCTGCCGTCGAGATGCTGCAGGAAAAGTGGGTGAAGCCGGGCGAGCGATAGGATGCCCAAGGTAGC